TTTTTCCACAGCTCAATAAAGCTGTGAAAAAAGAAGTGATGAAAACCTGAACTGGTAAGAGGGTGAGTGGCGAAATCCGAAAGAGGGTTGGAGTTAGTGTCCTAGGAGGCTTTGGGCCGCCGTGATTGAGGACTCGGGTGGTGCCTTGGCAGTGAAATCGGATAGATTTGCCTAGAAGAGACTTAGCTAAGAAAAATATCAATCATTCCTTAATAGTGTCTGTTAATCGGGCCATGTTAAACTTTCCCCAATGTCCATGTAATGGCTTTTAAGGTTTTTGTTTTAAACCAGAACCATGCATTGTGCTTGGTTGTTAAATCTTTTAACGGTCTCTTAGTCTTAATTTTTAAAAAGTTGACTGTTTGAATGGTACGGAAATTACTCAGCAATAAAAGGGACCAATGATATATGTTACAATATGGATTAATCTGAAAATGGTTATATTGAGTCAAAGAAGCAAGACTTAAAAATGTACATATACTTTGTGATTCCTTTTAGATGAATTTCAGGAACAGGCAAAATTAATCAATGGTTATAGAAATCAGCACTGTTGCCTCAGAGTGTGGGATTGACTAGAAAAGAGCTCTCACTAGGGTGATGAAAATAGTCTTCATAGTATGGTGGTCACACAGGTGTCAGGACTCATCTAATTGTACTTCATAAGTCTGTGTAAGGTAGGAGATAGATGGGATCCAGGTTTGACATTTACAACTGGCCTCCTATTTGCATTTCATGAGGCAGAAGAAGTGGGCTTCAGATTACCTACTTAAAACTAGTCTCCTGTTTGCCTTCCCTGAGATGAGAGATAGGTGGGCTCCAGCAGAGGGATTTACAATCAGCCTCCTGTTTGCTTTCCAAAATGGAAGTAACAACAGTCATAGCAATAGTTAGGGTAATAATATGGCAAGGACAAAGAAGGGCAAAACCCTGTTTGAGTGAAGGATTAAGAGATCTCTGCCCCCCCCCTGTTTTGGGGACAAGTGATACACTTGATACATGCCCAGAATGGCTCCTTGGGGTCAAAAGTCAAGGGATAATTCTAGGCCATAATGAGTCTTGCTCCTCCCAGAAGCCTTCACTTTGAGATCTGTCTTGACCGAGGTGTGCCTGCGAAACCCAGGGAGGGTCCTGAGACAAATCAACCCGAGAGGGAACAAACGAGATGATTGGCCTAAGGGAAGACAAAGACTGGGAAAACTGCCACCTTATAAAGTATTTAAACTTAACCAAAGACATGTTACTCTCTCTCTGAGTTCCCCTGTGTGCCTTTCCCTGTGTACTTTTCTTTTCAATAAACTTTTTCTTTTTACATTCTTCCTCACCCGAATTCATTCTTAACCAGTTAGAGAGGGACTAGTGACTCTAGACCTAACTGCTGTCCTCTGTGGTCCAGTGGTTAGGACTCCCTGTCCAGGAAACTAAGACTTTGTTTCCAGCTCCTGTTCGCTGCTACTTACTGCTCCTGTGTCTGAAATCATATGCAGTTCATTCTATGTAAATTAAAACAAAAAAAGTCATGTAAAATAATTCTGTGTAGTAGGTTGCCAATTTGATATATGGTTAGGTAAATTTTGGACTGTTTTCAGCTTTAGGGTTTGTTTTCACCCCTTTTCTAAAAAGTTTTTGAATGTATATAAAGATAGCATAGAGGCCAGTGGAATTGAATAGAAGGGTCAGAATGGTCCTTCATTGCTTTGCAACAGAGACCAATGGGGGAAGGGATAGTCTTTTCAGCAAACAGTGGTAAAATAATGTCATCCTTTTACAGAAATTAATCACAAGCAGTTCATGATTTTCAGAGGTTTGGGGTTTTTTTTTCCCAACAGATCTTAAGTGACACAGAGTCCTAGACTGCAGCCTGATGTGATTATAAAATCTAAACTCCAATTATACTCACTCTATTTATTCTCATTCATCAGTTGTTTACTGAATGCCTGCTACTATCAGGCCATGTGCTGGATGCCGGGAAAAACCATGACATCATCTCTGTTGTGAAGCTGACACTTTCGTTGAAAAACCAGATAAAAGCATAGAAATAAAAAGGTGGGGGGGGAAGCTTATAATTTTGGCATATCCTGAAGTAAACAAACAAGGGACAGGAGTAGAAAAGTAAAGTGAGAGGGCATCAATGGAAAGCTTTCTCTAAGAAGAGGATGTTTTGAGACCTGAAGACTAATAAACAAGCCAAGGGGCAAGTGCAGGAAAAGATTTTCTCAGGTGAAAAGCTTGGGAACAAACCAGTAAAGCTCTGAACTGATGAGAAGGGGAAGAGGAGTGATGAGATCAGTGAGGAGGCAGGGCCGGTTCAGGCAGCTCCCCAAGAGCACATGGGAGCCACAGGAGGTTATAAACTGGGGAGAAATTAGAGGTCATTACTTTGTGCCATGAGGATGATTGGTTGGAAGGGGCACAAAAATGTAAGCACCTATGTTAGACTTGCACTACTTTCTGCCATAATTTTTTTCTTTTTAAAATTAATTCCTCAACATTCAAAGACAGATGACCTTAGTTTCTCTCTCTGTGTGTCCTCCTCAGCAGACAAACTGAAGTCTTGTCTATTTTGGTGACTCAGTTTACAAATAAACCACAGACTGAGGCCTTAGCTTGGGAGCAGGTTGGACAAGGAGCATATAAACCGTCTCTAAGTGACTAACCTGAAAGGAATTTAGGTCAGCAGTTTGGGTGAAGCCGTAAGGTAAAGAACGCACCTGCCAATGCAGGAGACAAAAGAGACGTGGGTTCAACCCCTGGGTCGGGAAGATCCCCTGGAGGAGGAAATGACAACCCACTCCAGTATTCTTGCCTGGGAAATGCCATAGGCAGAGGAGCCTGACAGGCTACAGTCCATAGGACCACAAAGAATCAGACAAGATAGCACATAAGTAAATAGGCTTATCTGGGAATGGGATTTTTGGAATTTGTCTGAAAAGCTGTTTTAATAAAACTCCTTCACAAGACCTAAGCTAATATGGGAGGAAATTGGATTTGGAAAACCACCAACTAGTTAATCTAGGTATGTTACTCCTAGTAACTTTCACTTCTGCTTCACTCTGTGAACTTTACCTGGTTCTTATGGGGAGGCGGGGAGCTGCACAAAAGGGAATGTTAAGTGTATCTGTATCTTTTACTTAAAAAGAGAATCTAAGGCAAATGTGACAAATGCTGATTCTCAACTGGATGGTGGTACATGTACATTTGAATTATTCTTTGTACTTTTCTGTATTTTTTAATGTCTGAAAATAATAATCATAAAAATCAACACACTGTTTTCCAAAAAACAAAAGCAGTTATCTGGATAGTGCCACATCTGTCCCAGACATTAATTTCATATGTGATTAGACACGTACTAGGTTTTTTTTTGTTTTGTTTTTTTAAATATTTATTTGATTCGTCTTGGTTGTGGCACTTGGGATTTTTTTTTTAAATTGCAGCATGTGGGATCTCGTTCCCTTCAGGCCCCCTGCATTGGGAGTGCAGAGTCTTAGTCACTAAACCACCATGGAAGTCCCAAGACATGTATTAGTTTGCTGTTCTCATTCCTCAGCGCCAGGTATTTGCACAACATTGTAAAAATAAACAAGAGGAGGACTTAACAGGAGGAGGACTTCCCTGGAGGTCCAGTGGTTAGAACTTCATGCTTGCACTACAGGGAGCATGGATTCCATCCTGGTTAGGGAAGCTCTGCATGCTGCATGGTGTGGCCAAAAATAAAAAGGAGGGATTGCAATCCAAATGAGTGAAGACCATCTCATCCTGACCTGGTCTTGCATTTCCTGCATTGGCAGACAGTCTTTACCACTATCTGAGGTGTTATTGATATTTCTCCAGGCAATCTTGATTCCAGCTTATTTTCATTCAGCCTGGCATTTCACATGATGTACTCTGCATGTAAGCTAAATAATAAGGGTGACAATATGCAGCCTTGACATACTCCTTTCCCAATTTGGAACCAGTCTTGTTTCATGTCCAGTTTTCACTGACCCCAAACCAGCTGAAACCAAAAGGTTGATAATGTCAGCCTTCACCCAATCAGAACAATGTCCACTGGCTGATCACACCCTTCTCCTTGTAAGACTACTGTTAAGACTTACTACCTGTAAGACTACTCACTACCCCCTCCACGGCAAGATAGTTTTGAGGGCATCAGCCTGTGGTGGCCCCTCCTTTCCTGGCAAAGCAATAAAAAGTTTTTTACTGAATGCAAAAAAAAAAAAATATATATATATATATATTTTAAATCACTTTATCTCTGAGATTTAGTCTGGCACCAGTGAAGAGGCTGAATATCTGCAACAAGGGGAAGCTAAGGAAATCGATTAAGCCGTAGGCTTTTGTCAACACATCAGCGTTGGCTAACGAATTATATAATGTACCCCCAAAAGGCAAAAGGCTACTATTACGGGAACCAGTTTTTAGGGGCGCTCAATTTTCTGTAAATGTAAAGCTCCTCTGTGGGGGGGCGGGGGTGTGTGTATTAGTCGCTCAGTCGTGTCCGACTCTTTGCGATCCCACAAACTGTATAGCCCGCCAGGCTTCTCTGTCCATGGAATTCTCCAGGCAAGCATACTGTGGTGGGCTGCCATTCCCTTCTCCAAAAAGCTCCTCTAAAAACCTGTTAATAAGTAAAATATTGACGCTTTTGCTTCCATTAGGGCAGAGACAGTAAAATAAATTCTGGCTGGCAGAAATAAACGTTTTTAAAGACCATAGTCTACAAGACTCAGCCAACATTCAGACGCCTGACAGGGAACAGGTCTATCCGACCCCCAAGCCGGCTACTGGGGAAAAGCCCGTGAGGCTGGGGCGAGGGCGGACGGGGCAGGGGCGGGGCAGGACTTCCGGGCTGCTCTCTCCCCATTGGCTGGGCTGCCAGGCGTCCTGTGCAGGAACCGGAAGCCGAGCTCATAAAACCGAGGAGGCGGGGAACTCCGCCGGCTTTCGTCTCCTGCGTCAGGCTTGAGCTCCCGCCGATCGTCCGCCGTCACACGTCGCTTGCCACCATGGCCCTCAGCGATGCCGACGTGCAGAAGCAGGTGAGCGCCAAGCTGGGCTCCAGGAGGCAGGCGGGCGCATCCCCGGCCTGCGGGAGACCCGCGGCGGCCTCGTCGGCCAGGCCTCCCCGGTTCCTGGGCCCGGTCTCAGATGCCAGGCGTTGGCGGTGGGCGTGCCGCAGGGCTGTTCGGGTCGGGGCTGGCCCAGGGGTCGCGGCGCTGGCTCGGCGCCTCGTCGTTCGCGGGGTGGGCGGGCGTTGAGCGTCCAGGCACGGTCTTCGGGGAAGGGTCATCAGGCCACGGTTTTTAGGGAAGTCGGCCCCTTCTTTCTGAAGTTTGTAGGAAAACCCTGACTAACGCTCACTCACCGTCTTGTGAGTCTTGTTATGTGAGGAATTCGGTGTTTCTTCCTTGGAAATTTTCATTTGCTCGGAAACGTCTTTGTTTTATTTGTTACCTAATCAGCGCTCAGAAGGGCGAAGTGTCTCACTTTAAGTGCATCTTCGGCTGATCACAGAAGGCGGCAAGAACAGCGTCTGTGAGGAAGGTTAAGGCGTCTTCACCAAGTGCTTAAGGAGCCATGCGGGCGTGAGCATCAGCCCGTGCGGCGTCTGAGCGTCGCTGTGGAAAAGGACGCGGTGCCCTCCACACAACCTAGTAGTGGTCACGCCCCGGCCCCGGCCCTTTTCCCCCCTGATTAGGATAGAGCGAGAGCTAAGGGTTCCCCAGGAAAAATACCTTATAAAGGTAAAACCGTGGTGAAAACCAAAGGCATCTTTTGTTTCTGTAAAACGGTAAGAGTGGAGAAATGCATGGCCTGTACCCCTGCACGCTCCGCGGGGTCTCCATCAGGGCGACGCCTGCGCTCCCGGTAATTCTCAGCAGTGACCGGGGCTGAGCACCAAGCTCAGACCAGACACATAGAAACCCTGGGTGTCCAGATTCCTTCCCCCACTGTATTCAAGTATTTGTCCGTGTTGCTTTTCTTGTCTGAGGAGTATGTGTCATTTATTTCAGCAAATCTGCAAAGGAATTTGATTGGAAAAGGGTAAAAACCGAGTAGATTTAGCAGGAAGAAGAAAAGTGTAATTTAACGGCAGATTTTTCTGTCTTAGGGGTGGAGTTAAATGTCCTGAAGCAGGTAACTTTCTCTTGTCGGAACTCCCAGAGGCACGGTGTATTCCTGTTGACTGTAAACGGGCTTCTCTGATGGGGGTTAAAAAGAGTGTTTTGCTCTAGGCTGTGCTGATCTAGTCAGATCTAGTCGCAGAGGATCCAGCAGGCGTGATAAAGGCAGATAATGCAGGTTTGAATCAGGGTTTACCTCCAGAGGCCAGTGTCTTTTAACATTTATAAACTATATTTATTACTGTATTTATTTCCTATTAAAGAGTTTGTGTGTTTTTTGGGATGTGGACCATTTTCAAAGTCTATATTGGATTTGTTACAACATTGCAACATTACCTGAGAAGGGAAACACACTTCAGTAAATGATTGTTGAATGAATCAGGAAAGATATATTTTCTTGTCATTCAAAAATAAAAGAACCTTTTCCTTCTTCTAGATTAAGCACATGATGGCTTTTATTGAACAAGAAGCCAATGAGAAAGCAGAAGAAATTGATGCAAAGGTGAGATTCCACTGTCTAGGTTAAAGAGTTTACCAGAGTTTGACATGGTCTTACTTTCCTAATTAGTACTGAATAACATTGCTTAACAGAGCAATTTTGAGTTGCACAGTATGTCTATGCGTTATGTAAAATTTTTCTTTTCTCTAGATATAATCAAAATAGGCCAGAATGTGCCATCTAATACTTAATTTTCATTGTTCTTTTAATTTATTCTGCAGTAGTACAAATAATAGTTATATTTCCCTGTGCTGTACGCTGTATCCTTGTTACATGTTTAATAATTTTGATGACCATCTGAGTGCTGCAGTTTCTTGTATGACTAGTTTCCTTATTTCTCTCTGGGACAAATAATAGTGCTTATGTTTCAGCTGCTAAATGCATTTTTATTTTAAAGTAGTCTTATCTCATATGACACCATCATCTGTACTTATTTCCTGTGATAGGTGTGGTAAAAGCTGTTCGGCATTTATTTTAAAACATGAAGGTTCTAGTAGCTGTGCAAAGCATTGGACATCTGAATGAGTAACTTTAACTAACGTCCAAAGTCATAATTTCTTACTGCCTGAAAATCATAGACAGTTGACACACTGAGATAGCCTTTGTAAAAAGTGACTACTCAATAATTAACACTAAAAAACTAACAACTCAAATTTATATAGTTCATCATTTTAAAAGGACCATTAGATTTTGAACGACAAGGATAGAATATTATTTTTATTTTTTTCTTTTATAAGGGAAGACACTTAGACGTGAGATTACTTGACCAAATTTTTTAGATAGTAACTCAGATCTTCTAACTCCAAATTCTGTATCTTTTTCATATACAGAATCTTCTGATTATATACTTTGTAAATTTGTTTGTAGGTACTATTATCCTTGATTAAATTTTTACTCTTTGGCTTCATTTATGATAAAAATCACTGATCTTTCCTTTTGAATAAAAGGAATGAGGAGTAATCTTTGAAGATGAGTTATAACACTTTTTAGTTTTAGATACAGAATAAAGTGAATTTAAGCAAATACCCTTGTCACCAGCAGCTTAAAATAAAATGGTCAAATCTGTATAATGAAATAATAATAATTAATGTTTTGGTAGGCAGAGGAAGAGTTCAACATTGAGAAAGGTCGTCTTGTGCAAACCCAAAGACTGAAGATTATGGAATATTATGAGAAGAAAGAAAAGCAGATTGAGCAGCAGAAGAAAATGTGAGCTTTAAAAATCACTGGGCCAAGAGGGTCCAGCAGGTGCACTGGGGTCAGGAGATACCGGTTCTGGTTTTACCTGGACCACTCACTGCTTATCTAACCTCGGTCACATTGCTTAACTTCCCTTTCCTCACTTGGGAACATGGAAGCCTTACTGGATTACTGAAAGATACAGTTGAAATAACTGATAAAGTCTTGCCACTTGGTAAGCACTTAAGAAATATTTCGTAATATTTGAGGGTAGGTGGGTATAAACCACTGCATGTATTTCAAGGAGTTCTATTTGGGTCCATACAGAGAAAGGTATTTGTATATCTGGAGAAGCTTGTACATTTTTTTCTCTGCAGCTCTAGTGATGATACTTTTCCATGCCTATTGCAGTCAGATGTCCAATTTGATGAATCAAGCGAGGCTCAAAGTCCTCAGGGCGAGAGATGACCTTATCACAGTGAGTAAATAGTCCCTTTAGTTATAGTATTATAAAATGTTTGTCTATTATTTAGAATTCACTAGTTCATATTCGATTAAGGACTTGATTAATGATTTTTAGAGAGAAAACCTTTGGTTAGCAAATCACTACACTAGATATTGTAATAAATAAATAAATGAAAAAGATATGTGTCCCATTTTCAAGGACTCACTGCTCTGACAACGTATAGACTCTTCTGGGTCACATGACTCATGATGGAGGACCATAGAATGTCTGAGGGTGATGGGGACTTGAGGCTGGAAAGCCTGAATGGAGTAACATAGGGGCCCTGAGTGCGTGTGAGGAACTTTTGAGTGCTTTCAGTATTTTATGAAGAATATCATATATAGGATTCATGATGTAAGTTCATAAGTATGTAGACTAAATTTAACAGAGAAGAGGTTAGACACAGAACCATCTGAAAAGTATGGTCATCCAAAGGACAGGGCAGAAACATACACTTAGGTCAGCCAGCCTGAAGGAATTTGAATTGATTCAGAAACCAAGGAATTCCCTGTTGGTCCAGTGGTTATGTCTCCAGACTTCCACTGCAGGGGGCATGGGTTCAATCTCCTATCGGATCTAAGAACCTGCAAACCACATTGCATGACCAAAAAAGGAAAATTCAGAAGCCAATCACGGATGCCTGTGTATGCACTGTTACTCATAGTGTTGTCACGGAGGCCCTAGACTTCTTAACAAATGGAGAGATAAGTTAGATAAATATTGGGAAGGAAGAAACTTATGTTTTTGATGCTACGATTATATACCAAAAAAAAATAACAACACCTGAAAAACACTAAGAACTGGTGATTACTTCAAGATGGTGACCAGCTACAAAGAAAATATACAGAAATTGATAGGTTTTCCACATGCCAGCAGTAACTAATTAGGAATAAATGTTAATGAATAGGCCCAATGTGGAAAAGCTGTAAAACTGGAAATATAAAACTTGACTAAGTAGAAGACATACCATCTTAGATGACTAAAGAAACACAAATATCTTAAGATGCTGGTCTTGTCACATGACTAGTGTGATGGCAGCAAGGCCTGAGAGGGTTGTCAGTGGTGATGCATTTTATAGGAGGACACTGGACATTGATCTTCTGCCGCCTCTTTTAAGGCTGATACAAAATCCTGAATTTCAGGCCTGGCTGCCTGGAAGAGTGGTGGTTCCATTAATGAAATAGGAAGTCAGGAGAGCAGACTCTTAAGAACAACAATCAGATCACTTTGGACTTGCTTTGAGGGGTCAGGAAGCTTCCAGATGGAAATGTCTGCCAGGGTGTCTCTAGTGTGAGTTCACACTATAACATAACAGCAGAAACTAGCAGAATCCTATAACATATAGCAGAGACTAACAAAACTTTGTAAACACAGTTATACTCCAGTGAAGAAAAAAGTAACTCCCTTAACACTTAATAGACCCCAGAGTAGCCAGGGGCTTCCCTGGTGGCTCAGGCTGTAATAAAAGAATCCACCTGCAATGTGGGAGACCTGGATTCCATCCCTGGGTTGGGAAGATCACCTGGAGGAGGGCATGGCAACCTCCTCCAGTATTCTTGCCCGGAGAATCCTCATGGACACAGGAGCCTGGCGGGCTTCAGTCCATGGAGTTGCAAGGAGTCAGACACGACTAACCACAGCACAAGCACAGCAGCACACACTCGCCAGAGTTTATCCGCTTCTAAAACTCTTACACCCAGATGTCTTTCTGTTTTCAGTACCAACTTGATCTTTTAGTCTTCACTCACCTGTTTTCATTTCCTAATGAGCTAGGTTCCCTTGAGGGAGGCAGCTATGTGGGCTGCAGGGTTTTGTGTTGCTCAGTCCTGTAGGAGTCGAGACAAAAGACTGTATCTGCACTACAGCCTTTTGAGCGTGACCATGAAGAATTAAGTCAGTCATAGCTTGGAATTGGAGAGAACAGCATGAACCAAAACCAGGAATTGACAACACAAACAGGAAATGGAATTGTCCGGAAGAGCAGGGAATATAGGAGCTGAGGCTGGAGAGAGACACCAGGGTTTGGTTAGACTTGAATGCCTACTCAAGAGTGTGGAACGTATCCTTTGACCTTTTCTCTTAACTTTTAATAGGCATGGAGATCTCATGGAGGGCCATGTAAAAATGCAAACTCCAGGCCCCATTTTCCAGAGATTTTGCTGTTCTCATCGGGCATAAACAGCCCAGAGTAATCCTGGTGCAGGGCGTCTTAAGGAGCATGCTGAGAAATAGTGTTGTAGGATTAGGTTTGGTGTTGGAGAAAGAGAACTGGTGATGTAGGGAGAGAAAATGAGGATATGGCTTAACTTTGATCTGAAGGTCAAGAAGCAGAGAGGCCTAGACTAGATGGCAGAAGTGGTCATTAAGAGAAGGCCGGGGCCTTGTCCACAGATTTTTAAACACTGCAGTCTGTAGGACTTGGTGACTGAGGAGTCAAGAAAGACTTAAGGTTTTCTTACCAGGTTAGGCACCTGGTTAGGCAATGGTAAATAGAGGAAGAATAGCAGGTGGACAATGTGATGAATCTTGGCATTTGAATGGCTTCAGAAGACCAGGTGAGGTTGGGGCTGGCGTATAGACAGCTCACAAGCCCAGTCTGTGTGTGTGGATGAGCTCATCACCATTGTGGATGTAGAATTCCAGTGTCAGGCAACAACCTCAGAAACCTCGAGCTTAACAGACAGGAAAACAAGACATTGCTAAGGACACATGGGGAAGGCAGTCATGTGGGAGGAGAATAAGGAGAAGCCCAGGGACACAACTCTTTTATTTTTTTCTTGTTTTGTTGAACTGTTAGCATTTTGATAGACAGCAAATGCAGTTATTCTGTAACATGCAACACAACGTGAGCTTTTGTTTTGCTAATTAGGAGAATTTTGTGAAAATAAATGTTTCTCTAATTGTTCTAAAGCACTTGTTTCCTCAGGCCTTTGAAGCCTAACATTGTGCCATTGGGTACTCTTCCGTTTAGCAGTAACAAACCCCAACTGAGATGATGGGGATAGGGCAACATGTCCATATTTCAGTGCATTTTGTTCTTTTAAAACATTAATTTTTCCAGCTTTGCTCATAGAATCAAACTATGAAAGGCAGGGGATTTGTCAAACAGTTGGCTAGAAAAGCATGGGGACAACAGGTGGAAGGACATGGTAGCAAACAGGCGAGCTCTGCTGCCCACAGTGCATCGTCCTTTGGTTATTCTTCCCTATTCTTGACCTTGTCCCTCTGCCTGCCCTGATGCTTCCCAGTATAAGAGCCCAAACTGTGGAATCCCTGTGAGGTATGAGTTTCTATTTCACCACTGTCTGCTGTTTGGTGGGTACATCTTTTAACCTCTTTGAACCTTTCATTTCTGATAGAGTGGAGAAAGCATACACCTGAAGGTTCATGTAGGAAAAGTGACTGTATAGTGCCTCATGCAGAATAGGTAACTGACAGTTTTCTCCTGTCACTTCCTAAACCTCACACCTTGTAAGGTACGGTTACTGTTGTTGGGAGATAAAGAACACAAGTAACTTTTAAAAATTCCTATTTGTTCGTCCCTGAAGTAGAGCTTTCCGATGCTGACTGACAGCCAGCTGACTGTTCACACCTGGAAGGACCAAGGAAACATGGTTCTGTTGTCGTCATCATAATCAGGTTTTAGTTTCTTGCTTTCTAGGAGCATAGTCCTAAATTTTCAGGAACCTAGAGGCAGGTTCAGGTGGACAACTCTCAAAAATAAATTACTGATCTGTAGGCTGAGAGGTAAAGGCAGTAACTTACACCTCTCTCCATGAGGCGTCAAGCTACAGCCAGAAGTTGAGTTTAGAATCAGAGTATCAGTGGAGTATTGATGGCTGATAACATTACCAGCCTCACCTGTAGGGCACATCTGTTCAGTGGACAGGAATGCTCTAGATAGGGGGATGATACAATTTATTTCAGTTAGGTTTTAGCTTTCTTAGCTGGAGTTCAGTTTTTTTCAACTTCCTATGCCTTTGATTGAAGTTGTGGGCGGTATTAAGACTCATTTACCCAGTTCCAGATTTTTCATAGTGGGTTATTTTTATAAATGGCTGCACTGCTCTTTAGAGGTTGACTTAATTCTCATAGTGTAAGGCTGTCTCCAAACTCCCCTGCCCACCCTTACCTGCTTGACCAGTGTGGATGGTCAATTCTAGCATAAAGAAACATGATTGAGGGAGCTCTTGGTGAGGAGGGGCTGAGGTTTCAGCCAGATGTCGTATAACAGAAATGCTATAAATCTTTGTCCCATAAGCTTCCTAGATTCTGAAGGCTTAAAGTTCTTGGCAGTGGTTCCTGGAAAGTGGTAGGGTCAAGGATGACTCACTCAGAACCACTTCCTTCCCTCCACCCTCACTTCCCAAATTCTGATTGGTCTATAGGTGAGCATGAACCTTCCCTCTCCTCTTTTAATCCCCCACAATCATTCTAGAGATTGTGTTCAGTAGAGTAGATGAGTGGAAAACTTTCTGGGATGGAATGTTCCTGACAGTGTTGGGTGGACAGCAGTGGAACTGAGGGGTATTATCTCTACCTGGCTCCACTTTTAGCTTATCACTTACAGAGTAATTTCCAGTGTGTTCTTTACAACCATGTGAGATTTCTGTTTCTTTTAAAGAAGCAAGTGTTCATTACAGATTAGAAAATACAAACTTAACATAAAATTGAAATCATTGATAGTCCAGCCTTCTTACAGGTAAACATTGATGACACTTTGTCCTCTGCTCAGATACTATTTTTTCTAAATAAAAAACAGAACCATCTTAAAAGACTGCCTCAACGTTGAAGCTCGCTTTCCCAGTCTGTGTCATGTATTTCTGTCAGTCAGTGGGGCTCTTTTGCGAGCGTGTGAGCTCCCCGAGAGCTGAGGTAGCGCTGCTTTTGTGCATCTGTGTCCTTAGCACAGCATCTGCTTTACTGTTCACCTCAGAGAATGCTTGTGGAGTGAAAACAGCCATAAAGTGAAAATTGATTGGACACAAGCTGGGGCCAGCCCCATGTGGGTTCTCAGCTGAATACCCAGGTGCTTGGATAACTTTGTTTTCCACCCTTTGTAGGACCTACTAAATGAAGCAAAACAGAGACTCGGCAAAGTAGTAAAAGATGCAACCAGGTACCAAGTGCTGCTGGACGGACTAGTCCTCCAGGTAAGTCTGCAGGTCAGATGTTCCACAGATGGCCGTGCACCTGCAGGACTGACACAGTGTGAGAGAAGCCAGCTGTGCCCCTCCTGTGTCATCTTGTGAACACACAACTCCTGCGTGTTCTCATCTTGGCTCTTTGCCTTGTCTAGGAGGAGATGCTTGGAAGGATGGTGGTGTCTCGCAGGTTGAATAAGACTGATATCTTTTTACTGGTTCTCTGTAACCCCCAACGATAAACCTTCCTAATTTTACTTCACCACTGAAATGCTTGTTTTAGGTATTGAGGTTTAGACCATGGGCTGTATAAATTTTATTTTCTGCTCAGCTGTTTAAATAACAGTATTTGTCCTCAACCTAGTTGTATTTTGTTCCCATCACTAGAGCATTGGGTATATTTATCTGGTTTGAGACACCAGAGTCTTGCCATGTTATTGTGCTGTGTAGGCCCTCTTTGGGGAAACTTAGGATTTTCCCCACAACACTGAGAGAATTACAAAGACATTCTGTTCGCTGTTGCTTTACAGTTTTTGCTGTTGCATCTGTTTGTGCTTTAATAGGGTTTGTACCAGTTGCTGGAGCCCCGGATGATTGTTCGCTGCAGGAAACAGGATTTCCCTCTGGTGAAGGTAAAGTTTGGAAAAATCCTTTTTCTTTTTAAAGATCAACGTGTTGGGTATGAAATGACAGCTCACCCATGGAGATTGGAAGAGTTTTAACTTGTTGGAGATTCTGACTTCAGTGTACCCAAGCCGCTGATTTACTGTCTCAAAAGAAATCAAGCTGCCAGCTGTGTTAGCACCCTCCTCCCTTCCTGAAGATCTTGTAATACCATAATCTGAAAATTCAGTTCAGAACTGTACCTACTGGATTGGAACCGAGGATAGGCAAGACCACTGAGAGCTGGCATACTCCCAGAGCAGCAGGCCTTAGTGCTAACTTAATACTGTCCTACACCTGGAGGAGGAAAGTAGGTACCAGCAAAGTGACAACACAGCATCACTCCCAGGGGCCAGTGTTGAGGAGCTTCTCTGTACCCTGTCTTAAGGGAGGAGACCTTGGCCCAGGGAGGATCCAGGCCATGGCAGCACACGGTGGCAACAGAAGCATCCTTAGGTCGAGACCCCCCAGCTCTGATTATGTGCCAGCTACTCAGCGTAGGTCGTTCTTCCCTGTAGCTTGTGGTCAGGCGAGGTCGAGAGAGCTTAGTCCCTTAGCGACCTCATGTTTAACACACCATGTTTGTGGTTGCCCCAAGTCACTTGTCTCCTAGGAAAGCGCACTGCCCGGTGGGGCACAGTGTTCATTCTCATCTCCACTGTGAACTAATGAGCCGTGCCAGGGACCTGGAGCCCGGCTTGAGCCACCCACCTAGATGTGGGGCAGTGCACCTCGGTGGGCGTCACTGGGAAGCTGCTGGGGCTGGGTGCCGCCAGAGTGGCATTTGCTCTCCGTGGTGGCACTCTGTGAGATCTGAGGAGTAGGAAGAGTTCAGTGTATGTGTACATCTGTTCGACTGGTAATAGAATCAGAAAAAGACTAAAGTTCCTTCATGATGTTATTCATGTCTTGCTGGAACCTACACCTGGTGCTACCTTCGGTCAGGTTAGAACTTCTTCCATCTATCCTGTACCCCTTCCCCCAACTCCCTCCTTTTTCAAGTGTGGTAAAAAGTGCATGAAGTTTACCATTGTTACCAGTTTTAAGCATACAGTTCTGTGCTTTAAGTACGTTTGCTCTTCTACAAATGTCCTCCACTGTCCTTCTCCAGAACTTTCCCTCTTCCAAACTGAACAGCATCTCCATGTGCCCCTGGCAGCCACATCCTGCTCCTGTCTGTATCACACGGCTACTCTAGTGCCTGTGTAAGAGGAATCATACAAAGCCTGTCCTTTGGTGATGGGCTTACTTCACTTGCCATATTGTCTTCAAGGTTTATTGATGGTGTAGCCAGAGTTGGAAATTCCTTTTTTAAGACTGAATATATGAACCACATTTTATTTACTCATTTGTGTTTATAGACACCTGGGTGGTTTCTAGCATTTGACTGTTCATAATGCTGCTGTGAACATGCGTGTAACACACATACGGTCTCTTTTATTTCCTTTGGATGGATAACCAGAGGTAGACTGGCTGGATCCTGTGCTAATTCTGTGTTTAATTCTTTGAGGGACTGTAGTACCATTTTCCACAGCAACTACACCATTTCACATTACCACCAGCAATACATCTGTTCTTTTACTTGGAAAAATAAGTAGGAATATCTTTGCTTGTATAGATTGTTGGTTTTGAGGATAACTGTTCTGTGTATGTGGTCAAGTTGCTCATTCGTGTCTGACTTTTTATGACTCCATGGACTGTAGCCCATCAGGCTCCTCTGTTCATGAAATTATCCTGGCAAGAATACTGGAATGGGTTGCTGTTTACTCCTCCAGGGGATCTTCCCAACCCAGGGATCGAACCCACATCTCCTGTGGTTCCTGCATAGTTTTTGATGAAACCTCTGTGTTTTTTTGTTTTTCCAGGCTGCAGTGCAAAAAGCAATCCCTGTGTACAAAGTAGCAACCAAAAGAGACGTTGATGTCCAGATTGATCAGGAGGCCTACCTGCCCGAGGAAATGTAAGGAGTGTTTCTGCTTTTAACATGCAGGTGGCTCTGGTTGCATGAACAGCCATACACTGGACCTTCCTCTGAGCTCAGTGCGCTGGAGGGTGGTGTGACCCCACTCATTTGTGCCTCCTGTCAGCGCCTGTTGGTCTCCCGCTGTGAACCAGCTTTTTAATGGTTCATCCTGCCAAGAAGTAGAACAGATTTTGTACCCAGAACTTGAAGCTCGGTCCACATGTGACTAGATGCTGAGAAAGGGGATGGCTCCCTCTGGCCAGGAAAGTAGCCATGTCTGGCTGGTGGACTGCATGGTGTGGACTGAGCACTCGTGGTGCTTCTGCTGATGCTGGGTGCAGTGGGGTTGGCCACAGGAGCTCCTGGGCGGGGAGGCCAGGGCATTGTTCCCTTGTAGCTTTCCAGCTCTTGGCAGCTGCAGTGAGGTAACGTCTATGCAGAGCTGACCCAGGGCTCAGGATCCAAAGCCACTCTGCTGATGGGTAATTAGTGGCGGGCGGAGAGCAGTTTGAGGTCTGGTAAATAGCAGGTTCCAGTCAGAGCCACTGTTCCCGGTGCTTTGAGTCTGGACACTTAGGAAAGTCAGACAGTACATACCCTGCATGTCACAGCATCTACTCCAGAATTAAACAGACAGTTCACCCCTGAGGGGTTTGCTGACTGCTGACTGGAGCCTGGATCAGATGAGGACTAGGGCTGTTGATTGGCAAATGGAGACAAAATTCCCCTTTTTCTTCTGTTAGGGAGGGGCAAGTTGTTGGAATTAACAAAGGGGAATTGGCACATAGTCCCTTGGGATGAGTTGCAGTTACGAGTTGACTGTGTTTATTGGCCTCTACTCAGGAGGAAGAAGGGAACTGCACCAAGTGTCTGTTTTCCTTAGACCTATACACATGGTTCTTTCCTGTGTTCTTTGTAGAGCCGGCGGTGTTGAGATCTATAACGGGGACCGCAAGATCAAGGTGTCTAACACACTCGAAAGTCGGCTGGACCTCATAGCTCAGCAGGTGAGTGTGGGGACACTTCTCAGTCGGTTGGCCTGTGGTTACGTTGAGGTGGTGCAGAGAACGTGTCATTGGTTGGTATTTGAAATTTGTTGCTCTTTGTATGTTTTTGGACATTTTCTTAAAAGGAATGGAGGTTTTGGCATTCAGTGTCATTTGCTGAGATGATACCATGTACATGAGGGTGGGCTTGGGGTTAGAACAAGGGCTTTGTCTGTCTAGGATCTCACTATACCTGAGATGTATCAGGAGGTGCTTAAGAGATGCTTAACTACGGATGCTTAACAAAGGCCCTAGAACCCCACACCTCTGCAGGAGTGACAGGAAACAAGTCGCTGCTTCTTAGAGGAATTGCCACAGGGCACCAGGCTCTTTAAAGTGTTGCTGTGTTTGCAGAAAGCAGTCAGGAAAGTTGAGTTGTCCCAGGTGTGGGGCCTTTTCCAGGGGTGCGGTCTGCTTAACCACCAGGCACATGTGGCTAAATTTGTGGAAGAAGGTACATTGAAAATTCCCTTTCCTAACGATAACCCTATGTGCAAAACAGAAAAAGAGACTCCTATGTATAGAACAGACTTGTGGACTCTAGGAGAAGGCGAGGGTGGGATGTTTCAAGAGAACAGCATTGAAACACGTATATTATCTAGGGTGAAACAGTTCACCAGCCCAGGTTGGGTGCATGAGACAAGTGCTCGGGCCTGGTGCACTGGGAAGACCCAGAGGGATTGGGTGGAGAGGGAGGTGGGAGGGGGGACCGGGATGGGGAATACATGTAAAAAAAAAAAAAAAAAGATACACTATGGTTGTGATAAAAAAAAAAAATAAATAAATAAATTAAAAAAAAAAAAAAAGAAAATTCCCTTTCCAAGGTGGCATTGACCACATGTGGATGGCAGCCACTGTCCTGAGCTTGGGCCCTTGGGGCTTTCCAGTTGCTTCTGTGGACGCCGAGGCACATACCTGCCTTAGCAGTTTTCTACTCTGCACAGGGTGGGTGCTCTGTCTGTTCAGAGCGTGTCACCTCTTCTGCCCACATCAGAACATGATGGAAGCCCCGGATGGTGGTGACTTCTGTCACTTCTCTTTTTCCCCACTGAGCAGTGGCCTGAACCCCACAGGTGTGATTGTAACATCACTCTCAGCCTCTGCTGGGATGTCCTTGCCCTGTGACTTCCAGTTCAGCCTGTCGGCTGTGGCTGAGGCTCAGGTGGGTCCTTGCCAGGCCACACTGCCTCACAGAAGTTCTCCACTCTTCACAGATGATGCCTGAAGTGCGGGGAGCCTTGTTTGGTGCAAATACCAACAGGAAGTTTTTGGACTAAGCCAGCAAGAGGTGCGTGACGTGAATGCTCCCGACATTGGAAGAAACGAGATGGCCTGATAGCTTCCTCTTTGCTGTCCTCTGCCCTTATTTGTCAGTGGATGCTCTTTTGTAGCTAATGTTCTCTGACTGATGGTAATGATGGGAGTCTCAGTTAGTACAATAGGAAACCTTCCTCTAGCTTGTCTCAAAGTAGCACAACTTCCCACCATTCTGTAGCTCGCAGTTGCAGGGCCAGGTGTGGGTGCATGCGTGTCCCACACCTCCTGCTGTCCTGGGCTCCACCATCCAGCCTACAGGCGGTGCGGTGGTAGATTCAGTCCTCCAGTGCATGTGGGCCTCATCCCTTCCAGCAGCAACAGCAGCTTCTCGCCTATGTGTTTGGGCCTGGAAGTAGTCTGTAAATGTGATTTTAAGGTCTATTCATGAATCTGCTCTATTTATTAAAACACAACGTGGAGGTGGATGTCGCTGTAGTTTATTACACAAGGGCTGCGACGTGTACTGAGTGACCTGGAATGCAGGAGCCACAGCCCGGCAGTGTTTCACCACCAGCAGCTCCCTCTCTCTTCCTCTGCTCCTTTTTACTGAACTCACTGAGAGGCACCCTCCCAGTGGAAATTGTCCAGGGTCAGCTGGCCTCTGGAGGGGCTGACGGCGTGATGAAGGAGGTGTGGTGGATCTGGCAGCATCAGACAGGAGGCGGCGTGGGCTTGGCAGGGCGCAGTTGCTGTGTGTTTGGTGCATCAAGACTTAAAACGCTGTGTGACCGGAAGATGAGGTGTCTGTTCTCCACCCTCAGAATGACCTGAATTGACTCGTGTAGCTTTGTCCTGAGTGGATGCAGCTGGGGGGACGCGCTGTCTCCTCACAGCTCACGGCATTCACGTCACACAGGGCTGCACGGGTGGAGGGTGTGGAGCCAGGGGATCCCTAGCCTTGGGACAGTTGTCGTGGTCCCCTTGAACTAAAATACAATCCTGCTTTTCCCCACATCAGTGCTAGTTATTTACTCAGAATTCAGTTCAGTTCAGTCTTTCAGTCGTGTCCGACTCTTTGCGACCCCATGAATCGCAGCACGCCAGGCCTCCCTGTCTATCACCAACTCCCAGAGTTTACTCAAACTCCTGCCCATCAAGTCAGTGATACCATCCAGCCATCTCATCCTCTGTCATCCCCTTCTCCTCCTGCCCCCAATTCTTCCCACCATCAGGGTCTTTCCCAATGAGTCAGCTCTTCGCATGAGGTGGCCAAAGTACTGGAGTTTCAGCTTCAGCCTCAGTCCTTACAATGAACACCCAGTACTGATCTCCTTTAACATGGACTGGTTGGATCTCCTTGCAGTCCAAGGGACTCTCAGGTTTTGGAAAAGGCAGAGGAACCAGAGATCAAATTGCCAATATCCGCTGGATCATCAAAAAAGCAAGAGAGTTCCAAAAAAACATCTATTTCTGCTTTATTGACTATGCCAAAGCCTTCGACTGTGTGGATCACAACAAACTGTGGAAAATTCTGAAAGAGATGGGAATACCAGACCACCTGACCTTCCTCTTGAGAAACCAGTATGCAGGTCAGGAAGCAACAGTTAGAACTGGACATGGAACAACAGACTGGTTCCAAATAGGAAAAGGAGTACGTCAAGGCTGTATATTGTCACCCTGCTTATTTACTCAGAATTAACAAGAGTAAATCCTCGAACTGACTCAGTTGAGATGCAGTGATGACTCTGTTGAGGTGGTCAGCTCCTGAGCACTGGGGCCCTGGTCACCCAGGGGTGGGCCTGAGGGGGACAGAGCAGGTGCGAGGAGGGCGAGCAGTTCCAGTGACGGCCGCTCACCCCCAGTGCGCCCTGACGCCCCGGGCGGCTCTGAAGGATGGGGCTGTGAGCAGCACCCTTCAGGAAGGCCGACCTGAGGCCAGGGTTCTGGGCCCCTCCCCCACACCGTGCCCCCTCCTCACTCCTGGGTGGGGGCTGTGCCACCAGCACCGAGGGACCTTAACCTGCACAGTTGCTGATGCCGCTGTAGCTGTTCACTGCAGCCTAAGTTTGGCTTTGAGTTTCCAAAGCTACATCGAAAGACAGTCAGTAGTTAAAGTGTCTGCCCACCCTTTTATCGACAGAACATCCCAGACTCCTTGTATGAACCACACTGTCTTAAGGGCCCAGCTCAGGGGGGACCAGAGTGCCCTGAGACAGGAGACCCCCCTGTCCCCAACCTTCCAGAGCCATCACTCGTGGCAGCAGCTGTGGAGCCTGCAACACAGCCAGACATGGGCTCGCTGACCACAAAATCAAAGCCCTGGAGGCTGATGAGATCCCAGTCCAGCGAGTTAGGGACCGCCTGGGAAGTCTGTTCTGATCCCATGTGAAGGGGGAGAGGCTCACGCAGTGCCCAGCATCCTGCTACAGCATCCCCGGCACCTCCATGTGCCCGCCGCTTGGCTCCCAGCAGCTCACGCCCATCAGGCAACTCCAATTGCAGATGCCACTGGGGGCTGGAGTCCTGTCCTCTGTCACAGGCCAGCACACTGCCCCACCCTGGCCCCTCCACCCTCCCTTGGTGTTCAGCCTGGTCCCCATAGGCTGCCACTCACCCAGCTAGGTAAACAAACCAAGCTCTGAAAACAGACTGTCAGGGAGGCTGAGGCCAGGACAGTGAAACAGCCCTAGCAAGAGTCCTTCCTTGCTGATCCCCAAGAACTGCCCCCGGGCAACGGGGAGCATGGACAGAACCAGACAGTGTCTGCAGCTGATCTGTTTCCGTTCCTCAGCACAAACAACAGATCAACAGGATGGAACCCACAGCCCAGAAACAGTCAACTGATGCCTGACAAGGGAACCAGTGGCAATGATGGCTCTTTAGTGAATGGTGCTGGGAAAACTGGACATTGACTTGCAAAAGAACTAGACTGCTGTCTTACACCACTCACAAGACTAAAGATGGATCACAAAACAGATCATAAAACTCCCAACAGCGGGAAATGTTCCATGACACTGGGACCTAAAGCACACGCAACAGAAGGTAAAAGAAACAAGTGAGACCGTATCAAACCAAAAAGCTTCTGCACAGCAATGGAAACCATCCACAAAATGATAAGGCCGCCTACTTAATGTGGGGACAACTGCAAGCATACATCCGATATGGGGCTAAGACAAGAATTCACAGACAGCAACGGGCAAAGAACCCATGAGAAAATGCTCAGTGCACTTGATCATCAGGGAAACCACTAAGATCACCTTACATCTGCCACTGGCCATAAATCAGTTAGAATATGGAGAGGGAACCCTTGTGCACTGCTGGCGGAAATGCACGTGTGTCCACAGCAGCGCTGTGTACAGTAGCCAAGTGTCCATGGATGGATGAATGAAGATACAATAAAAGTCACGCAGAAACACATACTGTGTGATTTCCCCAATATGTAGAATCGATTAAAAAATGCAAACACAGGAAAAAAAGATGGGATACGTGGTTCACAGAGGCAGGAGATGGAGACTGAGTGAACTGGGTGAGGCCCCAGCGTGCAGTTACAAGGTCAGTACATCCTGGCGGTGTGGTGCTAAGTGTGGCAACTGTAGTTAACACTGTTCTGTGTGAGAACGTTGCTAAGACAGTAGATCCCAGATGTTCTTAGCATTTTTGTAACTCTGTGAGCAACGGCTGTTACCCAGTGGTGATCATTGCTGTAGTATGTGGTTGTCAGGTCATCACGCTAAACACCTTGGACACACACAATGGCCAAGTGTCACTCACCCTTGATAAAACCGAGAGAATGGTTTTGTCTGCTGGTTGACAACGGAACATATCCTTTCTATATGGCCAGTCTTGAACTTCCAAATGCACATTTACATGTGCAGACATGTGAACTGAGGCATGGTAGCCACTCACTCCCACCACCTTCCAGAAAAAGTGCATGATGCACCTGCCTTGTGACAACTGCTGCTGGAAGAAGTCATTGGCTCCCAACTTGATGGCCTTCTCCATGGTGAACAAGGTCAGGTCACCGCGGCCCCTGAAAGGAATGGTGAGGGCGGGGGGGTGTCTGCAGCTGCAGGGACCAGCTCCAGCCTGTGAACTTCTGGAAGACTAGGGTCCCGGTGAGTCAGGGAGCTCTTCTGTTTTACTGAAGCCCTCTTTCTTTTCATTGATCCACGTGGCCTGTGCCTGAACTCCTCACGGGCTCCCTGGTGCAGGGCCTACAAGTTACTGCTGTCTCTCACGTATGGACCCTTGTGATGACACGTGACCAGTTCTCCAAACTAAGCCCGACTGTGAGATCCCAAGGGGTGGGGTGGCTATGTGGGTCCCACGGCTTTGCCTTCACACTCGGAGCACGGCCAGCTCAGCCCCTCAGTCCAGCACCGTGTCCGTTTCTCATGGCATCATCATCTTGGTGTGCATCCCTAGCTGGAGACACTAAGGGGAAAGTGCCCACACCCTCTGGGTCCCCCGGCCCCCTTGTTCCCACACCCAGCATCTCCTGTCCACCCCTCCCCTCTTGAATCTTTTTGTCCAGAGCCAGGTCACTGTCGGCTTCCCCAGGGTTTACTCCCAGCACCCGGGGGTCAGTGTCTCTTCCTCCAGGCTTCCTGTCCAGATCTGGACAGCAGTGCCTGGCACTCGGCCCACCTTTTCTGAAAGGGTCGATGTCACGCTTTCAGAAAACCACCGATTGCTGTTTTCTCCCCCAAAACAAAGAACTTAAGAGATGTCCACAACGTGCCGGCCGCCCGGTAACGGAGACAGACTCTCCAGACACCAGGACCTCCTCCCAACACCGTTTCTTCTGACATTTTGATTCCAAGGCCCACAAGTTCCCAGAAGAGGGCGGACCAAGCACATGGGCAGCTGGAGTGGCAGCACCAGGGTCTCCCTGACAATAGCCAACCGGGATGTGAGAGAAACATCTTCCCAGACCCATGGGAGAACGTCCCCAGTGCCCTGAACGCCATGTGATTGTTGGCACTGCAGCTTCTCAGGCTACAAAACCTAAGTCACAGTCTGTCCGTTTCCACAAACAAGACTTCGGCTTGTTTACCGAAGTCCTGTCCTGTTACTCCTCGAATGTCTGCCTCCGCCGGAGAGTGACGTTCCACTGGGTTCCAAGGAGCCTGTCTCCCAAACTCCCAGACACGGGACCCACACGAGGTAAAGTGTAGCCACAAGCAGATCACTGCAAGCTCTAACCATGCTTCTCTTCTGCTCACTGGACACCCTACTCGTTGGAAGTGCGTGCTCTTACTATTGACAGTGGCTCTCATTCACCAAACACATAGCAAGGGGAACAGGATTAGAGGTAGGTAACGGTTAAAGCAAACAGCATGGGATCAGAGGCAGGTTATGATTTAAGCAAACAGGTCACACTCAGTTCTGACCTTAAGCCTGAAATGAAATCGTTGGAAATATTTTTTGAAAGCTTTTACATGTGGCTGTGGTGGTAGGGACCAGTCAGAGAGCCCAGAGGCCACCCTGAGGCAGCTGAAACCCCAAGCACGGAGCTGGCTCCCTCACAGAAGACCCCGGCCTCCCCGAGGGGCTGGGAGACGAGTCAGCTGCGGGGGGCAGGGGTGGCTGTGGGGGCTGCTGGGGTCAGGGAGGGAAGCTGAGGAGGGGGCCACTGGAACACCTGCAGGGCCAGGGCTAAGCAGTGGCCACTCCTGCCCGTGCTCCTCTCCCCCTTGGATTCCGCCCTGGCCGTGTGGCCAGCCTTCCTCCTCACCCCCTGTGCACCCTGGGCCGAGTGTCTCAGCAAAGCACGTCAGTGGAGGCATGGCAGGGCTCGGGGGTGACCTGTGTGTCCCCAGTGACTTGGCCAAGACGCAGCTGCAGAACCAGTGTGGACAGGAAACCGACAAAGGAATGCATGTGGGGGCAGCCATGTGTATCGGGGTGTGGGGCCCCCGAAGACTGGGGCAGGGCTGGGCAGTGGCTTGCTCACCGTGGACTCGCTAGTCCACTTGCCCAGTGGCCGAGAGGACTGGGGGAGTGGCACAGGCTTGAGGGTTGGGGGAGGAATTTAAGCCAGAACAAGGCTCAGAGGAGCCAGAACAGAACCAGCCAGGAATGGAGCAGAGACTGGCCCCCAGGGAGTAGCCCCAGCACACATACATGTGCACACACACACGCTTCTCTCCAGTCAACATTACCATGCACACACACAGATGTGCACACACGCACACGCCCACTTCTCCCCTGACCCACCATGGATGGGCGGCTCGGTGCCGAGTTCTGCTAACATGTTGCTGGCGTCCAGCCTCTCGCCCGGCTCACCTCCCTTTACTGTGAAGTCTGCAGGGGAAGTTGCATCCTTCCTTCTGTCCTGTGAGTGACTGCGTGAGCGCCAGGTACATGGAAGGGACTTCGTTTCATAAACGCTGAGAAGTGACAGCTTAGTTCCTAGGACTGGGATGCAACGTGCTTTCCTCCTGCTGACTCAAGCCTTGGACATGCTCCAAGGGGCCAACTGCAGGGCTCTCAAAAACAACCGTCATGCTGCCGCCCTGTCTGGAAGCAGCTTCAGATCCAAACTCTGAGGAGCCGGCAGTGTTTTTCCAAACTGAACGACTTGTTGAAGGCAGCTGCGTGTCACTGGCATCAGGAATACCGAGGGACAGGTTCAGAACACCACAGCCGCCTTCCTGGCTGCTCTCTCTCAGCCCAACTCTCACTGAAGACTTCTGCTAAACTCACCCAAGGCAACAAACTGAGCCTGGGTTGCAGAAGGGGAACAACACTGGCACAACCCAAGACCCAGCACAGCCCAAAATACATAAATATTTAAGTAAGAATAAACCCAAAGGAAAAGCCACACTGCCAGGAGAAAGACTTTGGGGGCCCAGTGCTTGGGGGAGGGGATAGCTTGGGCCTGCAGCCAAAGGCATTCCTCCCAGAGGCCTCTCCAGAAGGGTTCAGGGTGAAGGTCGCCTCTGAGGGCCTAGCCCTGAGTGAATCTCGCCCTAGAAGTGCTCCCCATTTATAAAACTCAGCCACCTTTCCTCCCAGTGACAGAGGGTTAGAGATGAAAGCCATTACTGTTCAATATAAGGAAACCATTGCATGTTTCCAGACATCAAATGGCAAGCTCCATCAGAACTGAGACCAACCCACTCTTCACTCACTACTGGCTTCCTGTCTTCCCTGGTTCCTCCCCACCAGCTCCTGTTTCTTGTGCCAGTCTGAAGCAAGCAAGGGTGTTGGGGATGGTACACCCAGGGCTTAACAAATGTAAAGGTTAAACAATAATTCTGAAAACGGGGTGGATTAACTAACATGTTCCACGGAACCAGACTCCAGAGCTGACCAGTAGAAGACACTCTGTTTTGGTCTCAAGGAAACAGACCTGGGAAACATACCCTGAAGGATTCAGCTAAGCTCTGGCTAAAACTGTGGGGACATTCTGGCTTTTGGTGACAGATTCACATCTCAGCGAGAGGGCTTGCAGCTGGGAATCCAAAAGGCAGAACGAAACTGTACCTGTGTTCAGGGTGGGGTGCTGGTCCACACAGGCTTGCTCATCAGGACAGCAAAGGGGGCCAGGGTCCCAGCCGCCTGCTCCCCCCACCCCACCCCTGGCCAAGGAGACTCAGAGTCCAGTGAGACAAACACTCCGGCTGGCTTCACGTCAAATTCGAGGTTTACTCATGGTGTCCACTTTAAAGTTACTTTTTTTTAAAATGCAACTACTCCACTCGAAAACATGACTGATACAGAACTTTACAGCACAGTGTGGGGACTGACGACACTGTGGACATGGCCGGTCTGCAGTCTCTCACGCCTGCATTAGCCAACACAGTGATAACATCCCAATGGGGACATGACAACACACACCAGCAGGCCACAAAGGTCACGGCCCAGGAAGCAGGAGACCACTCATAAGGCTGATGGTTTAAGGGTGAAGCAGGCCAGGAATCTTGAGTGTCTTAACGTATACAGCCACCTGATGAGAAGGTGGCCAATTCCTCCTCCCGCACCCCCAACAAGAAGAACCCTCCCAGAGCACGCTGCCGTTCACAGGGCTTCGGCCTGGCCGGAGCTGCCCACTGCCCTCCTGGCCCCAGGGGCATGTTACCTATGGGCCCCAGCGCAGGAGTCAGCAAGGTGCAGTTCATGCCTGGGCCTGGGCAGTGGGTGAGGGTGGCCCTGGGGCCCCAACACGTCTGGTTAGGCAATGTGTACAATCCCCACACTGCTGAGGCCTGCCAGCCAGCGGTTCTCCACGGACCACACCTGATCACCCATGCAAGGCCTACCACACCCGCTCCCCACAATCCACATGGGGCCCTCGGTGACTGAGTGGGTCGCCTCTCTGGACGGCGGCACTGGGCCTCAATCAAACCTCTGTCCTGGTGGGACTTTGCCTCGACGAAAAAAGACAACAGTGACACGGGACACACACAACTCACACATCACCCTGCTCTTTTAAGAATGTGCTTTATACAAAATAACCAATTCATACGGAAATAAATCTACAGACCTCCAAGGATCAAAAAGATTTTTAAAAAGTTGTTTTAAAAAATTATCCAACACACAGTATAGAACTAAGTACTGAGGTAAGTGTGGCTCTCAGTGAAACAGGGGATCAGCAGACCAGACAAAATATACACAATATAAAAATAAATAGCATTCCCCTTCCCAGTACTGGCCAGGATCACGCATAGGAATCTGCAGCAGGAGAGCGGATGTGGGCCCAGCTGGGAACAGCATTCAGCGCCTCACTCCCGGGCCCACCACCCTTTCCAAACACACAGGACACTCAGCTGGTTAACAGGCTTTTCCACATCAGCCACCAGGGCACAATGAGGGAGAGACCAGCGGCTGAGGCCACTGACCATCTGCTCAGCCAGGGCCCATGAAGCACAGGAGGATGGAGCAGCTGGAGGTCAGGCTCGCGCCCGCCTCACACGAGGACGCAGCAGGGAAGGCCCAGCGCCCCAGGGAGAGTCCAGACCCAGAACAGGAACCAAGTCTCAGTTGAGGGCTCAGCCCCTGGCAGGGGAACCCACACCCAGGGGCGGAGGCTGAACAGCCTGACTCCCATGCACCCTGCTCTCTGTGGAGGGCACCCTGGCCCTTCCCTGGGCTCTGACTCGCTGGCTGCAGCTGCTATCCGAGTGTCCCTGCCTCGGGGCTGCTGGCTGAGGGATCCTGGGTCCTGAGAGCCGTGGGTGTGGCTGAGACGAAAACTTTTTAAAAGCGAGAAAACCCTGAGCCCACGGTAGCCCACTCCTGGAACTGGCAGGAACCGGCACAAGGACGCTCCTGGGGTGTGGGGGCCAGGCTGGCCATGGGCTGAAGGCTCTCAGTCCATACCAAAGGTAGCCTTCTGAGAGTCTCCCGGCCCCGCCCAGGGAGGACGCCCTGCTGACCACAGGCACGAGGGCCCCCCAGTAAGGCAGATGGACACAGCAGCACTAGTCTCACTTTAAAGGAGGGACAAGAAAAGTGTTCTGAACAGGAATCCCCACGTCTGTCGTCACTAGGTCTCCACCTGTCTTCGGTCTAATAAATTTTAGCCAAGAGTTCTTAAAGGAGGGAGAAAAACTCAAGGCCAGAAACATTCCATAAGGTTCTTGTTTCCTCTCTGGATCTTTTCTGTCTCCTGGGTCTGGGGAACAGTTTCTAACATAACGCCTCTAAGGTGAGCAGCGGACAGGAGTCCTCCAGGTCCCTGACAGGTGACAGTGGTCCCAGGGAAAGGCCCCCTCCAGGACCTCCTCCCAGGCCAGTTCTGGTCGGGAAGAGTGCACGGGCCCTGAATGGGGGGGGGGGGGGGTGGCCCTGTGGGGCAACGCAGCACAGAGCCACACTCCCAACAGGGCTCCCCAGTGCCTGGCCTCTCTGCTCACCCCAAAGGGAGGCTCGGGCAGCGGGAGATGGGTTCGGGGCTACGGGCTGAGCCACTAGAGGACTGTGCATGGTGGGCGGACGGAATGGGCAGGATTGCCGTAGTCCTCCTGGCCCTGCCCCAGCCTGGTTCTGCTCAAGGCAAGGGTGCCTGAGGCCCTGCACCCAAGCCAGCTTCCACGCTGGCCGGAGCAGGCTCTGGGCTGGGAACAGAGGCAGGGGCCAGGGTCTCCCCTCCCAGCTGGTGCACAGACACACACGGAGCCCAAGTGTGTCAGGCATGTTCCCTCACTGCTCTAGAGCAAAGCTGGATTTGTCCACAACCCTTCCCCATCCTTCCCAAATGATGACATCCCCACCTGGAACCACATCACGCCCGAGACAGGGCTCCAACAAGAACCAGAATTCAATGGGAACACAGCCCCCAAACTTGCCCCACGTAAAAGCACGCCAAATTTAAAGTTTAAATAAGTCTTTAAAAAAAAAAAATCGTGTTTATGCACATGTCTGGAAGGCGCCCGCATTCCCAGCGCTCCCCCTGCCCAAGCTCAGCATCTGGGCGTCTGGAGCTGGCATGGTCTCCATGGGGACTCTACTACTGGAAGCACGGGTTTGCTCCAGCTTCAGCAAGGATGCTGGGGCTGGATGGAAGGTTCTCTTGGCCCCTCACACAGCTGAATTTATAAGAACAAGCGCAGATCAATGTTTTCTGCAAGCTTTTCTACTATCTCAAAGGCATGCTTAAAAATACGCTATTTTTACAAAGACCTGTGACTTCAGGCTATCTCCCTTCAGCTGTTTCCTCCTTTGCTTTTGTGGAATATTCAAAAGCTTAGAGTAGGAGTCCTAACTTTGGTGGCATCTCAGCTAAACTCAAAGAATGCTTAACAGGGAGAATCCAGTGTCGCTTGCTTCTAAAACCATAATAAAGTAACTGAATACTGTAAAACTGTTTCCTATCACAGACAAGTGACTTCAAGAACTTGTTCTTGACAGCTATTTTAAATCACCATGACTTATTTTACTATATTCACATAAAATGGATAAAAACTATATATACTGAAATATTCCTAAATTCAAGCTGTAAATCTATACGATGCATTTTTCCTATTAAAAACTGTGCAGCTTCTTTATTGACACTAAACATATACAAACCTGAGTAGTCACTGCCACAAACTGTGATCTGTGCAGGAAGCCTGTGATGCCCCCCAGACCACAGTCCCGGCAGGTCTGTGACAGGACGCGCCACCGCGCCTTCCAACGAGCAAACGCTCCTGATACTGGTTTACACCTATCTGGCGGGCAGCTGGCCAGCCAGGAGGGGCACTGCTATCTCAGCCCATGACCTGGGTGCCAGGCGAGGCGGCTGCCCGAGGGGAAGAGCCGTCAGAGGAACAGCGGCGCCAGGTGTGCCCCTCCTGCAGTCCCCCAAGAGTGAATGGGAAAGGGCTGTAAACACAGGGGGTCAGCAGGGCTGCGGGCCCACCGGCCAGACTCTATCCCCATCACCCACCCTCCCCGCTGTATGTACAATACATTCACCACCGACAGAAATCATCATAAAGGCAACATGAAAACTCTGTAAACTGGACCCAGCTCCAAACACACCCACACGAGCAGTCCTGTCCCCAGACGGCTACCTGAGTGCAGCTGCCATGACAGCCCACCAGCAACCCCCCAGGTCAGGATGTCTTCCCTGAACAAGTGTCCCAGGGCCTGGAGAGACCACCAGAGTCCAGCCTGTCTGGTCCCCACTTTCACCCAGGACTTTGTGAGCGCGTGAGTCGTCAGGAGGGGCATCCAGGTTTCAGGCCACACAGAACGTGATGCTGGTGACAGGAGAGGCGGGTGGGGCCGGGCCCCATTCTGCACTTGCAGCTCTCTGTTTCCCTGGGGCATGTCTCCTCCTGGGACTAGCTCTGTGAGAAGCAAAATACAGTTTCAGCAAAACTGACACGTGTTAACTGTTAAAAACAACAAAGCCACGGAGCCACACACACTGCTCACATCTAGGAAAACGGTGCAGTCTTGCTTCACTGGGCAGTCCTACCAGGTGTGGTTTCTGAGTCCTGGACCCTGACTCAGCCCAGCGGCCAAGGACTGCTGCCTCCAGGGAGACCAGGGATGGGGTGGGGTTGGGGGAATCAGACTCTTCCAGATGATGTAGACAAGGAGTCACACCACAGAAGCCAGTCTGGGGAAGGAAATCTAACCCATCTCAGAGCTGGTGCCTGGGACAGGAATAAGTGGCTGGTGGGGTGGGAGAAAGCTGCTCCCGAGGCCCTCTGGCCGCACGGCTCACAACCCCTTTCCAGGCACCGTCCCTGGAGCCACAGCTGCCCGGAACCACACGGCCCTCACTGTCCACCACTCTGACCTGATCGAGGGGAAGTGTTGGGGGCTTCTGGGGGGGCAGCTCCTCCTGCGATGCCGCTGGCGCCGGTGTCTTTGGGAACGAGGGGCGGGACTGGACCGAGGGCCCCTGCAGTCTAGAGACATCAGGAAGCAACAGTCAGGAACGCATGTGATGTCCTCAGTACAAAGGAAAAGGCGTACAGCCCCACCTGGACCATCTGGGTGAGTGACCCCTGACCCGGGGGCTGCCACGTGAGGCAGGAGAGACATGCCTGATGCCACCTGCACAGTGCTCCTGACAAAGGTGTTCACTCTGACTCTGAACTGTGGCTAAACAATGAGAAGAAGCCAGAGCCTGGGGCGCTCTGTCTTTGAAAAACAAAGAATGCAAAGCCAATGTTGTAAAAAGTACTGAGCAGGCCCAGCACCCAAATGTAGAGCCATGCACTGTGACTGGATCCTGAATGGGGAGAAATCAGCAAAACAGCGAGAGAAACAGCTACAAGAACACTTCGGGGACAACTGGAGACATCAGACAGTGCCTCCATCAGAGCACTAACACCAACTTCCCTGGCCAGGGTAGCGTCTGGGCTGTGCCAGAAAGATGCCCTAGGCTAGGAGACACACCAAAGTCTCAGAAGAGAAGGCAAAGAACAGACGAGACATGACAGACGCTCAGAGAGGGGTGAGCACATGCAGAGGGAAGGCCCTCAAGCCAGGCACTGGGGCTGGGAGGACCCGGGGGGCACGCGGGTTCTCACTGGGGCTGGGGGGACCAGGGGGCACTGGGATTCTCAGGGTGGTCTGTGCTGCTTTATGATGGGGCTTCCCAACCTTGACCTGGGGACTCCCTGGATCTCAGGTTGCCTCGCTGGCCTCAAGACACAGCTACTAGAATTATCAGGGAGAGGTGTATGGCCAAGTCTGGCTCTGGATATAATGAGTTTTCATTCAGTGCCAATGGAGAAATGAGTGGTAAGGGGTGAGACTAGGATACCACCACCCACCCAGATCTGAGACTCCCTCTCCCTGGCCAAAGTCTGCCCACAGCCTCAGAATTCTGGCGATTAGGTGTCCAAAACCTAACTCAACAGCACTGAAATGCCCATTCACCTTCATGAGGAAAAAAATACCACACACAAAACTGGGTTCTAATGCCAGTGCTTTCCCAGTAAGCCCCTAGCACACAACCCACACGCTCCTCCTGGGCCCAGACCACCCAAGTCAGTCTTTCATTCCCAAGCCCGCTTCTCTTTGGGAGACTAGCATCTACTCTGCTTCATCCCATAGAAAAAAGGCACGCAGCTGCAGCCTTACCCAGACGGTCTGTACATCTCCTGGAAGGACGCCCTCACCCCATTTCCGGGGCCCATCTGCTCCATCATCACGGCCTGGAAGTGGCCCAGGCCCTCCTCAGGGAGGCGGTAGAGGGGGCACTCGGGGGACAGGCCGTTGGGTTGGGCCGCCACTGGGCGGTGAGGTGGGTGAGTAGCCGAGGGGGAGGCATAAGCCCTGGGCTGGAAATGCGTGGCCGGCCGCTGCGGGGGATAAGGCGGTCCGGCGTGCAGCATCACTGTGTGTGGGGGGAAGGCAGGTGAACCGAAGGCCATGCCCGGGCCGAGCGGGGCCGGGGGCGTGCCGTAGAGACACTCGCTGGCCGACAGGGAGCCTTGCCGCCTGGCAGCCGCGTTGTGGTTATCTAGGTCCAGGAACTCTTTGGGGCTCTCTGGCTGCTCCACAGACTCATCCTGCTTGCCCTCGGCGCCGGGGTTCTGCCCCTCAGCCGTCTTGGCAGCCACGGCGTCCACCCGTGTGGGCGAAGTTAAGGCAGCGCTCAGGGCCTCCACCGCGTCCACCCGTGTGGGGGGCGTTAAGGCAGCACTTAGGGCCTCACAGCCCTGCAGCCCGGTCACAGCGCTCTTGTCGGGGAAGAGGGGCCTGGCAGGGGCGGGCTGAGCTGGTGGGGGCCCGCTTGGGCTTACGGGAGCTGCGAGGTGTCTCGGCCAGTCTGAGAAGGTCTGTGGACACGAGTAGTAAGGAGTCCGTGGGTAGTGGTGGTAGGAAGGCTGCGGTGGTGGCTGGTAGGGATACCGCATGCCCTGGTGGGGGCGGTACCGAGGGAAGACTCCAGAATGAGGGTCATGAGACTGAAATGCCCGAGGGGGAAAGGGAGGAGGGTGCGGGGCTGGAGGCTTGCCCCCCATCACAGGACCCACAGCCTGCAGGCCTGGGCCTACATGGTACCGTGTGGCGGAGCTGGGGAACTCCAAGCCAGGTGCGTACAGAGGGGAGCATGCAGGCTCTGCAGGGGGCCCAGCTTCAGGTGGCGCCCTGCCCTTGCCCTCGGACCCACACGGGGAGGCTTCCACCCGCAGTCCGTTTTCAGGCAGTGGCCCCAGGTCTGCCAGGGTGCACGCCTGGGTGGGTGGGCTGGCGAAGCCACTCCCTGAGAGCCAGGCAGACCTGACCGTGCTCGCTGGGCAGCCATCCCCAGGTTCCGAGGACTCCGGCCTGAGCTCCGGGCCCTCTGGGCCCCTTCCTTGGGGTGAGCTCCGCCTGGCAAAGTCGGCCTGCAGAGGGGGCGCAGGGTGAGGTAGCTGCTTGAGGAACGCCCCCTCTGAAGCACCGACACTCGCTGGTCTCTCCTCGAGCCTGGGCAAGGGATCCACTGCAAGGAAAGCAGAGACAAAGTCACACCTGGTGAGCTGAAACCCCAGCACACGACAGGAACAGGCAGTCAAGATGACAACAACGTGCCCCCCACCCTGCCCCCGCCTGTGATCTGTGTGCCTGACTCCAAGGAGGCAGAGGGTGCATTGGCTGACTGCAGGCTGGCTGGGAGACACGGCCTTGACAGTAAGGAGGAGCGGCCAGGCCTGAGGACGCTGGGAAGGCTGGATCCCAACCCGGTCCTGCAGTCAGGACACCCACCCAGGGAAGTACGAACAGGACTAGATGAATATATGCTAAATGAATGACAATACCCGCCGTGCCTGGGTTTTCTGAAAACAAGACATGGACAGTGTGTAACACTCAAAGGGCATCTTCAAGGGATTACAGAAATTTAATAAACAGTCATTAACCTACTGAACTCAAATAGTTAATTACAGACTCAGAATTCTTTACCATGCTATTGTTTTTGGCCATAAATGCGTATTATCATCTCTCAGGGGGGGCAGAGTTGTTGCCCAAGGGTATCAAAATAGGATTCTGGTCAGAGCTTACAGACAAGATCAAGAATTCAGACCTTTAAGATCAACTAGGACTGTTGGCTCCTGAAAAACTAACACTGGCTTTAAAGATCACAGGTACAAGCTGCACAAGGATGATGAAAACGTGCACTTTTCATTATTCAGTCAACAAAAAACATACACAGAAACATACACAGAAATAAACACGAAATGGCTTAAAGACATGACACCATAAAACTCCTGGAAGAAAACATAGGCAGAACATTCTCTGACATAAACTGTCAGTCTCCCAAGGCAGTAGAAATTAAAGCAAAAATTAAAAAGTGGGACCTAATTAAACTTGCAAGCTTTTGTACAACAAAGGAAACCATAAACGAAATGGAAAGACTATCTACGGACTGGGAAAATATAGCTGCAAAGGATGAGACCAGCAAGGACTTAATCTCCAAAATATACAAGCAGCTCATACAACTCAACCAAAAAACAAACCCAATCAAAATATGGGCAGAAGATCTAAACACACATTTCTTCAATTAAGACATACAGATAGCCAAGAGGCCAAAATAAAAAGATGTTCATCATCACTAAACTAGAGAAATGCACATTTAAGCCACAATGAGGTATCAACTCACACCAGTCAGAATGGACACCACTAAAAAGTTTACAAATAACAAACAGTGGAGAGAGTGTGGAGAAAGGGAACCCTCTTACCTGTTGGTGGGAATATAAATTGGTATGGACACTATGGAGAACAGTGTGGAGGTTCCTTAAAAAACTAAACACAGAGTTAACGTATGATCCTACAATTCCACTCCTGGGCATGTATTTGCAGAAAGTAAGTGTTAGTCGCTCAGTCATGTCTGACTCTTTGCGACCCCATGGACTGCAGCCCACCAGGCTCCTCCCTCCATGAGATTTTCCAGGCAAGGATACTGGAGTGGGTTGCCATTTCCTTCTCCAGGGGATCTTCACAACCCAGCGATCAAACCTGGGTCTCCTGCACTGCAGGCAGATTCTTTATCAACTGAGCTACAAAGGAAGACCTCTGTAGAAAACCATAATTCAAAAAGATACATGCACCCCATGTTCACTGCGGAACTATTTACAATGCCCAAGACATGTAAACAACCTGGATGTCTAGCAAAAGATGAATGCATAAAGACGTGGTATGTATATACTGTGGAACATGGTTCGGTCATAAAAAAGAATGAAATAATGCCATTTGCAACAATATGGACGGACCTAGAAGTTACATACTAAATGAAGCAAATCAGAAAGAGATAAACATATGGTATCACTTATATGTGGGATTTAAAATACGACACAAATGAAGGTATCTATGAAACAGAGACAGACTCGCAGACATAGAGAACACACTTGTGACTATCAAGTAAAAGGGTGGGTAGGAGAGCAATGGACAGATTGCTCTGTCCATTGAGAGACTGGGGTTGGCAGATGCAAGCTATTATATACAGAATGTATAAACAAGGTCTGGCTTCAGCACAGAGAGATAACATTCAATATCTTGTGATAAACCATAATGGAAAAGAATGTCTAGATGTATAACTGTATCACTCTGCTGTGCAGTAGATATTAATTCACACAACACTGTAGATCAGCTATACTTCATTAAGAAAAAACAAAATGCAAACAAAACAACACAAACATCATGGCAACTAAGCAGACAGACTGCTCCTGAGACTCTTCCTCTAAAGCTCTGAATTCCAATCACATCTGAAATCATGCCTGGAAAATCGTGCATTCACAGAGTCAGCCTCTCCTCCAAGAAATCGCTAGAAGGGAGTCTGCGCTCCTGGCCCACCACCCAGTTTACAAGGAACCACATCACACTCTGCAGACGCCCAGGTGCCATGGCTCCCACACAGACACAGGCTAGATGTCCGTCCTCAACAGGCATGAGTCACACAGAGGAGGTCCACCACCCTTCTCCTGCACTTGGGTTTATTACTCTCGTAAATGGCGTTTCTAGAATCCTCCTGATGACGTGCCCATCTCACTACTGCTTCCCACCCTCAGTGCGCGTGGACGGGGCCCAACGAGAAAGGCATGCAGAGAACTGAGCCAGGAGTAAAGCCCTGAGAATATGTTCCCCGAGGGTCACTTCAGGACAGTCCTTTTCAAGTGGGGCTGGGCAATGCAAAGCTTGGACACACGGATGCCAGGTCCATTATGTCAGGTTTGAGTCAGTCTCCCCACCTAAGAGCTGGATGAAGGCAAATAACCACCTTTGTGCCCTGGAGCTTCCATCCATAGAAACAAGAATACTAGTCAAAGTCCCCTCAAGGTTTATTCTGAGAGTGAAGTGAGCGAGCACCGGAAGGCTCGGCACGAGTGGGGACACAGCAGGCACTGCAGCTGCACCATGCTCGGGCCGCGGCCGGCTCAACACAGAGACAGTCAAGTGAAAGGGATCGGAGGCCAACTGACATTTTATTTACTAGTCTGCATAAAAAGACGGGTCACTAGTTAACAGGGCAGATGGGGGGTGGAGGGAGCGCACATGCACACATTACCTTGGCCGTTCTCAGGCTCCTGCACATCACTGCTGTCCTGTGTCCTCCCAGGGTCCCCCGAGGCAGGTTTGGGGGCCGCCAGGCCCATGGGTGGGAAAGGGCCAGGCAGGCAGGGGGGTGCAGGCTGGCGGGGGCGATAAGGCACGCCTGGCGGGCACCCGCGGGAGGAGAGCTGCTGCATGGCCAGCATCTCAGGGCTGTCCAGCATGGAATCCCCACCCTGCACACCCCGCAGGGCTGGGGCCGGTGCTCCAAACAGAGAACCCAGTGCTGGGGCTGCAGGGGGCTGGAGCCGCTGTCCGCCAGGTTTACACGGCGGGTGCAGGTACCCTGAAGGAGGAACGCTGTGAGGTAGGAAGCCGGATTGTTCTGTCCACTGGTTTGGGGGGAGGGGAGGTCTCATCACTCGGGAATCCATCATGTGACCCAAAGGGCGGGGCTGGTGAGAAGGTCCTGGCCCCACAGGGGGCTTCTCATCTGGCCCCAAGGGTCCGGGGTTTGCAGCACCGTGGCTCCCGTTCCAGACCGCAGAGTGCACTCGGCTCAGGTACTTGTAGGGTCGGTACATATGGCCAGGAGGGACTTCTGGGCTCTCGGAGAAGTCTGGGGGTCTGGCTGGAGCACCCCCATGCCTGGGAGGAAGGAGCCCTGGCTGGAAATGAGCGGGAGGATACACGCGCCCATCCTGGCTGGGGCCACTCATTTGGCCAAGTGGCAAGGGTCCAGGTCGAGAGCCCATGTCAGCAAGGGGGGCCAGCCCTCCGCATGCCAGCTTCTCATCAGGGGGGCCACACCCGGGGCCTCGATGGTGATTAATTCCAGCTGGAGGCTGGCAACAGAAAAAGGGAAGCTGTGTTAATCCCGTGGTTATGGGGACTATGAATTTACCCTGGGGAGAGACGGTATTTCTGGAACAAACCTTGGCACCGGCACGCGCTGAGCAGTCTGCTTACCTGTACAGCCAGAGGCGGGGGCTGGGGGCCAGGTCCACGGACAGGTGGCCCCGGGGCTCCAGGGGAGACGCTGACTTCAGCAGGATCCGACCCTCGGAGAGGACAAAATGCTCCCTGTCCTGCTGGCCTCTGGAGGGCATGGGGCAGAAGCAGGGAGGAGGAGGAGAGAGTACATGCTTCAGGTCCTGAAGACCAGGCTCTGGCTCATGGAGGAGCCCCAATGCCCTGGCCTACGGAGGGTGGATCAGGGGCCTCCATCCCCACCCTCAGAGCCCCTCCTCCCTGCCAGCCTGGAGAGGTGCATTTATGGACTGGATGTACCCCACGCTTTGACTTACAAGGAGTGAGATTTAATTCAAATTTTTGCCCCATTGAGAATGTGTAGTTCTAATGATTAACAAAAAGGATTTAAGACAGATGAAGACTAAATGAAGATGGCGGAAAACTTCACACACCCCCCAGGCCCCAGTCAAGAGAAACTACTACTGGATGAGGCTGATCCTTGCTAGCTAGCGTGAGAAGAGAGGCTGGCCAGGGCAACGAGACACAGGGGCCCAGAGAGGCAGCTGCCATTCGAGGCACCCACCTGGCCAGGGGGCTGCACGGAGCTGCTCTGACCAGCCCCAGAAGCAGTGGTGCGGCGGCCCAGGGGCAGCGACTTCCCTCCATTCTCCGCGGGCTGCCTCCGGCCTGGTGCCTCCGAGTCCCGGGAGCGCGTGCACACGTGACTGCGCGCGCCCCGCCCCCGCCTCTTCTCCCGCCTCTCCTCCTCCCGCATCCACGGCTCCTCGTCTGTGTCCCCGTCCTCCCCAGGAAAATGCTTCAGCATCGCCCGGTGGAAGCACCTTTCCAGGTTGTCCGACATCTTGGTGTACTCTGTAGGGGACAGAGGTGTGAGCCCCCGCACTGGGCAGGCCCCCAGACCACCTCCCCCCACTCAACTGCAAGTTCTTTAGTGCCTCCTGCCTTTAGGGCTATAGACAAGAGACAGGACACAATTTCTGGCCTAAGAAACTGTCCAGACTGTGTGGCTGGCACAGGGGTCCCAGGAGCCCAAACCAGTACAAATTTAATTCTTCAATGCCAAACTGCAGAAACATTAAGTACAATCACCGAACCTCCAAGCTTCGGCACCTGCAGCAACACTGGCTGCGTCATCCAAGGTCTGCCCTGTGACTGTAAGACGGTGGGTGAGCAAGGCCCAGGATGACCAGGCCCAAGACGAAAACCAGGCCAGCAGCCGCCATGCCTCTCGCTGTGGAGGACGGACAGGGCCCGGCACGGCCCAGCCCATGGCTTCAACACACCCTCTCTTCATGGTCCTGAGAAAGGGCTGAACCTGGAGAAAGTGCGTTTCTGGATACACCTGTTTTTCTTGGTCCTGCTACTGCAGCAAGCTAGAGCCACAACACCCCTCCTCCACTCACCGCTGCTTTCCCCATTGTACTTTCGACAGTTCCTGAACATAGTCTTCATGTCGTTCACAAACTCCTCCTTGGTACAGTATAAACCTCCATTCAGTTTCTTCTCCATGCTTGAAATATCCATGGGTACCTACAACAGGCCACACTCGTTACTATCTGTTGGAGGAACAGTGCTTTGTAGTCCTCACACCACTAGGAGCTGTTTGAAAACCTGGGAAGCACCCAGCACCCGGCCCTGAGGAGCGCCAGCTGATTACAGAACAGCACAATCACCACAGAGGCACACGGCACAGTCACAGAGCTGACAAGGCCGCCTCTACCTTAATGATCTGGTAGTAGTTAGGGGCATACGATTCATCCACTGGTTCCAAAAAGGGCCAGGAATCCTTGTGTGCCTTCACCACGTCCAGAACTGAGGGGCCAAAGAGAAGAGCAGGGTCAGCACATGCACTTGAGAACACACTCGGTGGAACACAGGCGTGGAGCGTGGGAACTGACCTTTGTACATGGCGGTGAAGTCATCATCTAGCTCGAAGCTGTGAATCAGAGAGAGCGATCAGCAGTGACTGAGACCCCCTTCTCTCCCCAGTGCCCTAGATTCACCCTGACACACAGCTCTCTGGACCAAGACTTGGAAAAGTCCCCAGTGAACCTCTGTGAACCTCTGCTAAGGTAAGTCCGTGACACTGACGACCTCCAGAAAACACGAGAGAGTTGGCACACTCACCGCCCCCCTCAGCCCCCCCTCAGAGGGCTGGGGCCACTCTGCACTCACGGGTCTCTCGTCCTCTTCTCGGCCCGCGGTGGGGACTGGGGGTCCAGGTGGGACAGCTGGGGGGGCAGCGCCTTCCCCTGGGCCAGCAGCCAGGCCCGCTCCTCCCTGAGCCGGCGCCTCTTGGCTCGATCTGTGAGAACACGGAGCACAGGCGCATCAGGACGCCACAAGGGAGACCCATGCTCGACTGCGCCCTCTGCCAACCTCTGCACGGACAGGAGAGAGGCTTCATGGACTCCTGTCCTGGGGGTCACAGAGAGGGAGGTCAGGGAGGCCAGCGGCCCTGGTGGGTAGGGGAAGGAGTGAGAGAGAAAGCAAGCAGGTTAGAAGGAAAAGGGGAGCAGAGGGCCGACAGACAATCACCCTTGCTGACCAGCTCCAGCCCTTTCTATGTTGCCCACACAAAGACAGTATCTCCTGTTTAGGACCAGACCTCACTCCAAACACACCAGGACTGTACCAGCCCTCTGAAGCGCTCACACTGGTTATCCCACCCCCGGCACAGCCGCCCGCCCCCATCCACACCGGTGCAGGAGGTGCCAGGGAAGTGAAGAAGCCAGCTGGACAGGCCAGGAGCTGGAAGGGAAGGCATTTTCTGGACCCCAGACATGGCCACGACAAACACACTGCCAGTGCAATGCTGGCCTGCTCGCAATGGGGAAGAAGAAGCAAGGACTCGGGATACCATCCAAAGGCAAGACACATGACGGAGGGATAGGCGGGAAGATGCCTGGTGGGAGCAGACACGGCCCGCAGATGCCCGCTCTCACCAAGCTCCCTCTGCTCCAATTTCAAGCCTGTGTATAAATAAACTTGTAAGTGTAAGAGAATCTACACCTGCTTTAATTAATTAGAGGCATTTTGCTATTAACAACTTTTATTAAAATTGGTTTCTAAGAAAGAGAATGATTTCAAGTTTAAAGAAAAGTGTAACTAAATTAACGCACATACATGTATCAAACTGTTAAACATTAGGCCTCATGAACTCAATCCAGGATTTCACAACCAGTCAACCGATTCTTCACGTCATCAGAATCACTGTCTGAACAGACACTCCTCCCCAGGCGCAGGTGAGCCCCAGGGCCCACAGGTGAATGCAGTGTCCCCCCACGGCTACAGCAACTCCTTCACAAGCGATGCCACCACCTCACTCACTCCCACGTCGTGATGTGGAGTGTAACGTGGAATCCTGATGTTTCTGTCTGGCTGCTCCAGACAGGAGTGGACCAATATTTACTACTTGTCAACATGTGCCCAAAAAGTTCCTTCAATTTTTAAGTAAAAATAAGATATTTTTCATTTGCACCAAGAATCGTATTGATTAATGTATTCTCCATTTTGTTTCATTATTTTCTTCTATTTTTCAGGCAACTTCATTATTCTATCTTCCCAAAATTTTATCATTTTGAGCAAAGAACTGTTTCAGGTGCCTTTTACAGCCTTCCGGGGAACTGACATTTTTTTTCCTTCAAGAGAATTTTGTAAAGACCAAAACAAATAGAAATCCAATGGTGCAATGTCTGTTGAATACGGTGGATGAATCAGAACTTCCCAGCCAAGCTGTGACAGCTTTGCCTGGTCATCAAAGAAACATGCAGCCTTGCCTTATCCTGATGGAAGACTATGAGTTTTTTGTTGACTAATTCTGCATGGTTTTCATCAAGTGCTGCTTTCACTTGGTCTAACTGGGAGCCGTACTTGTTGGAATTAATTGTTTGGTTTTCCAGAAGGAGTTCATAACAGAGACTCCCTTCTGATCCCACCATATTACACAACATCATCTTCTTTGGATGAAGACCAGCCTTGGTATAGTGCTGAGATTTCCATTTGGCACTTTTAAATATTTTCCTTCTCTGTTCTCACTGTGTTCATCCATTCTTTTCCCCACTTAGGTGAACATCTTTATGACCATTACTTTAATTCTTTATCAAATAAATTACTTTTTTCTGAGGTTTTAATCTCCTATTCTTCTGTGTCTTCATTTTGCTAGACCCTCTGTGCTGGTTTCTATGCAGCAGATGAACAACCACCTCTCTGTCCTAAAGGCGGAGCCTCACAAAGGAGACCAGCCTTTGTGTTCAGCCCTGCCCAGCTCTTGGTCATCTCTCAACCTCCTGTGGTGCTTATCCAGACAGCCTGATGTATTTTAGTAAGTCCCAGTAGTTGAGAACATGCAAAGACCTGTCAGTGCCCCAAAGTGAGGTACCTCAGCACCTAGATTCAGGAGGTCGGGGTGAGTGAAACTGTGTGACGGTACCAAGAGGTGTGAACCCCAGGGACAAAACAAGTTGGTGCGGGGATGTGAGGCATCGTGTGCTGACCACAGTCCAGTCATGATGCTGTGCTGTGTATGTGAACAAGTGTGGTACAGGCTACATGACTGCGTTAAAGACACTAACCATGACCAAGGTCAGAATGGAGTTAGCCTGTTATGAATCAGAAGGCAGTAACTAGGAAAGCGAGGGGTCATCACATGATGAGGCCAGATGCAGCCCAGCCGAGAAGGCGGGACGGAAGGAACCCAGAACAAGGGCAAGGACACTGCAGGGGCAGGCCCCAGGGCCCCCGCTCCCACACCCAGCCCAGCAGAGCCGCTCCTACCTTCCACGGCCTTGACCCTCTCCTCCAGCTCCCGCTTCCTCTCCTCCTTCAGCAGCTGCTCCTGCTCCTTCTTCTGCACCGCGAGAAGGATCTGGCGCTCCTCCTCCTCCTCCCGGCGCTTCTGTTTCTCTAGCCTGCTGAGCACAGGGGTCTCCTGCGAGGAGTTAAAAAGTTCAGTCAACATGCTTTATAGAGCAAAACCAGGTCTTTGCTCTGAGTCAAGAGTCCACATTTTCTATCCCACACACAGCATTAGATAGCTGGATGACTTCTGCCTTAAATGCAAGTTCATCTTGTCATCTGTGCAATCAATGAATGAGTACAGACATACACTCACAAGACACAATGGGGAATGAACAGCGCGGAGCTGGGCCCGATGGTCACACAACTTGTCGTCTCTGGGAGACAACCTTCTGGAGAGGAGGCTGGAGTGGAGAGGAGACATCAATCTCCCCTAAGTAATGAAGAAAGGGGGAGACAGCACAGACAACTTCAGTCATCTGCACGCCTCAGAAACTCTTAACTTCTGCACTTTCCTCTATTAATCAAGCAATTAAAAAAAAAGGAGGGTTCGGTGGGAGGGGCCACCATTTTGCCTTAAGGAATAGGAAAGAGATGAAGTGACAGCACAGAAATGCACCTGACTAAGAAATTCAGGGAACGAAAAGATAACCAGGACCACTACCATCAATAGTTTCTCAAAGTCTTACTCTGGGTGTTTCCAATACTGCTAGTTCTGAGCCATCTGTAGCCCACAAAACTCAAGCTAGGGCTGAAATCATTATGTTCAATTTCTTCCCTGGGCTTCTGTGCTGATGTGTAAGGTACTTTTTCTTTTTTAAAATTATTATTGAAGAGGTAATAATTGTTACCTGTAATAACAGAGAATGCCTGTAAGATGCACAGATACAGAAAAAAAGAATCAGGTGTCTGCAAAGGAAAAATGCACATTACACTAGCAAGAAACATCAATTATTCCAAATCTGGTGAAACTAAGTCAGGAATATGATGTTTTTCTTTTCAGTAGAAAGAAGATCTAAGAATTTTCTACATAAATATCTTTAATCTGTGGAAATTACACGAGTGGTCTTGACGTGGAAAGAAAAGATGATGGCAGACTGCCATCCAAATGACAAGTGTTAGTCGCTCAGTCATGTCTGACACTTTGTGACCCCATGGACTATAGCCCACCAGGCTCCTCTGTCCATGGGATTCTCCAGGCGAGAATACTAGAGTGGGTTGCCATGACCTGCTCCAGGGTATCTTCCTAACCCAGAGATCAAACCCAGGTCTCCTGCACTGCAGGCAGATTCTTAACTGTCTGAGCCACCAGAGAAGGACATACATATGTATGCCGTATATACAAAATCATCATTAAACACAGAAACCAATCTGATTGACATTTTTTACTTTTTAATGGTCCTTAAAATGAGTTTCAATTATCATTTAACTCAGAAATAGAAAGTGCTCTTGCCTAGACAACAGACCTTCTGAAAGTCATTTTTACTGTTCAAATTCTAAGCCTGACTTTAAAAGAGCTGGCTAACAAACAAGGTAAAAATCTTTCAGAGTAAAAGAAGAGAGATGAAAATTTTTTAAAAACTTAACTATTGTTACTGTACCATGTACATGTACTGTATCATGTATACTGTAGTCAGTTGCCCAAATAGAATTAAACAAAGTTCCTTGACTTCTAGATCCTATAACCAGAATGGGCGGTCTGCACGGGGTTTACATGAGCTGGATGTGCTTTCAGAAATGAGGCTGCTGCAGGCATCTCATGGACAAGCCTCCCACTGACAGGGAAGCACCTTCCCATCCTCTGCTCCTTCATCCCTTCACAGGTCTCTAATCACATCCACTGTGGCAACATCTCTCCCTTGCTGAGAAGTCGTGTGGAGCTGCTATTAACAAAGCAAAGCAGACCAAACCTCTCCTCTGCTCAGCTCAACAAGGATCCATGGATGGGGCGGTGGACAGGCAGGGGACAGGTGAACACAAGCCTGGCAGGTGGAATTACTTCCTTCAAAGAAAGTGCTGCATTTTATACACATCAGACCCAATGAAAAACAGAGAAAAGCAAGTGCTAACCACAGAGTGAGGACAGCATGAGCATGTCCTCCCCTGCCTAAGGAAGAACACGCTGTGGAACATGCTCCCTTCCTGCCACAACAAAGACATGTAACAGGACAAGCAACTCAATGAGGACTCAAGTCAACAGTAACCAGGAAAACAAAGAAGATATGTCTCCTGCCTGAAGTCAATGCAAGGAGGAGAAAAGGGAGAAATAGGTCATTATGCACATCCTAAGACTATCCATATAATTTTTTCCAACAAATACAACAGTGTATTATTCTTAATATGGAAAGATATCTAAAGCAATTAACAGCTGTTGCTGTTCAGTTAATAAGTCCTGTCTGACTTTTTGTGACCACCAAAAAAAATGCAACATGAGTACAAAATTCACAGAAGGTAGATAAAACACATCCATGATCCTAAGAAAAAACAAAAGATTATTCATTCACAGCACTGTAAAAGATGAAAAAAGTGACATGTCTACAAAGACGTGGTAACACGGATAGCTCAAAGTGCTGGGGCCATGGATCTCCCAGAGGACAAGCGAGACACATGTCAGCAACCCTGGGCAGGGTAATCACATTGTGTGACTTCATCTTACAGTTAGACAGCCAGACAAAGTGTTTCTGAGTATGTTACAGTCAACATTATTTAAAATAGTGAACAATATGTAAATATCTTATAGGTTTAAAAATAGGTAAAATGACATAACCATTATGTAGTAATTAAAATTGTTTTTCTGAAGAATATTTAATGAAATATGAAAAGGCTCATATTACATGAAAAACACAGGTCACAAGACAACAGGCAGTATGGTCCCAGGTTTGTAATAAATGTTCAGAGAAAAGGCCTGAAGCAAACACATGAACCTGTAAACAGGGAACCTGTTACTATGTCTCCTGCACTTTTACACTCGACTCCCCTAGTTTTCTATAAGAACAAATAAATTCCTTAGGACACAGAACAACCCCTTCCCAAATAAGCTGGGGAAATCATCCAGTATTACATGTTCTACAATGATCTAATTTTTATTAACTTTTTAAATAGAGATCACATTGTAGTGGGAGTAAATTCTACAATTCAAATGTTAAAAGTACCAAGAGGTTGCTACCATGTATAGACTTTATGGTGTGGCATTAAAATTAATCTTAAATAGATTGAAGATATTTTGCTAAAAATGAAATAGGAATTTTTACATTTTTTGTAAGAGTATTGCTGATTTACAGTGTTGCCTTTGTTTCTGCTATACAGCAAAGTGAATTAGTTACTGTTGTTTGGTAGCTAAGTCATGTCCGACTCTTTGGGACCCCACGGACTACAGCACTCCAAGTTCCTCTGTTCTCCACTATCTCCTGAAGTTTGCTCAAATTCATGTCCATTTAGGTGGTGACACTACTGCACCATCTCATCCCCTGCTGCTTCCTCCTTTTGACTTCTGTCAGTTATACATATACACATATCCACGCTTCCGTCTAGACTCCATTCCTATATAGGTCATTACAAACCACTGAATAGAGTTCCTAGGTTCCTATTAACTCTCTTTTATATATTAAGGCAAAAAATTTAAAACTTAGGAAAATCATAAATGCCAAGGACTGTTGCAAAATCAGAGATTATGCATCATTTTGAAACACACATACAGATACTGAGGTGAAATTCACACGAAATGAACAACTGTCAGTGCACAGCTGAGGGGTGCTCAGCATATTCACAGTGCCTGGCAACCACCATCTGGTTGACCACAGAGCACCCTCAGCACCAGAGACAAAGCCTCGACCTCCATCCCAGCGGCGCCGCACCCTCACACTCCAGCCCCTGGTGACCACCAAGTGATTCTCCTTCTGTGGATCTATTTATTCTGGATGTTTCACACAAATGGAATTATACAATTTTTTGTCTAGTTAGTTACTTTTAAAATACATTAATATTTATACTAAGCACATAAGAAGTAATAACTTACTCACGGGGATGATCTGACAGAATAGCACTGAAACATGTATATCACCATATGTGAAATAGATGACCAGTCCAAGTTTGATGCATGAAACAGGGCACTCAAAGCTACTGCACTGGGATGACCCAGAGGGATGGGATTCGGAGGGAGGTGGGAGGGGGATTTGGGACAGGGGGGCACACGTACACCTGTGGCTGATTCATGTCAATGTATGGCAAAAAACACCACAATATTATAAAGTAATTAGCCTCCAATTAAAATAAACTAATAATAAAAATAGTAATAATTTAGTCACCTGAAATTAGAGTATCTTAAAAAAGCACACTGGTAAGACTCAATCGCATACAAATAATTCTATCAAAAAATGAGCCAAGGATCTGAACAGACATTTTTCCAAGAAAGACACACAGATGGTTAACAGACACATGAAAAGACGCTCAACATCATTAATCATCACAGAAATGCAAATCAAAGCCTCACACCTGTTAGAATGGCCATGATGGGTATCAACAAAATGACAAGAGATGGCAAGTGCTGACAAGGATATGGAAAAAGGGAACCCTTGTGCACTATTGGCAGGAATATAAAGTGGTACAGACACAACGGAAAAAAGAGTACAGAGGTTCCTTGAGAAAATAAAAAACAGAATTTTACCATATGACCCAGCAATTTCATTCCTGCCTATCTTTCCAAAGAAAGTAAAAGCACTAGCCTGAACATGAATACAACTCCCATGGTCACTGAAGCACAACAGCCAAGACTCGGCCGTAACCTACGTGTCCACTGGTGGATGGAGGAATGGAGAAGGGTGGTGTATGTACAAGGGAATATTACTCAGTCACAGAAAGGAAATGCTGCCATAAATGACTACATGGATGACATGAGGGGATTATGCTAAGTGAGATTAAGTCAGAGAAAAGCAAATACTGTATCAACTCACCTGCATGTGGGGTCTAAAACCACTGAACTCAAGATACAGAGAATAGACGGGGGTGGGCAAAATGAGTGAGATGTACAGACATCCATTTATAAAATAAATAACTCCTGGGCATAACATGGGCTTCCCTGATAGTTGAGAATCCACCTGCAATGCAGAAGACCCCAGTTTGATTCATGGGTCGGGAAGATCTGCCAGAGAAAGGACAGATTACCCACTCCAGTATTCTTGGGCTTCCCTTGTGGCTCAGATGGTAAAGAATCTGCCTGCAATGCAGGAGACCTGGGTTCAATCCCTGGGTTGGGAAGATCCCTGGAGAAGGGAAAGGGGATGAGATGTACAACATGGTGACCACAGTCAATAATACTGTGTTGTGTATGCGAACACTGAGAATAGATTTTAAAGTTACTCATCACAAGAAAAAACTGTGTGAGGTGACAGATATTAACTAGATCTACTGCTGATCATTTTGCAACGTGCACAACTATCAAATCATTATGCTGTACACTCAAAACTAATTTTACACATCAATTACATCTCAAAAAAAAAAAGAGTCTGCGATTCCAAGAACTCAACAACAACAAAACTCAGAGCAGAGTGCTCACAAAGGCTGAGAGCAAGAAGCAAGGTCTAGGACCTACCTGCGTAACATGCTCCTGACCGCCCCTGCTCACTGGGGCCCTTCTGTCCATTTCAATCCCTGCCTGTCCCCCATCCTGCCTTCCCCAGGCTCCCCCACCTCAGGTTGCCTGCTGTAAACACTTCTGCTCAGTGAGACACCACTTTGCCTCACACTTCTTATGTTGATTCTCTTTCACTATAATTAATGTTTTTCAAATTCAGTAGTTCCCATTTGATGTGAATTCTCAAACACTTTCATTTTATATAAACTGCATCATACACATTTAGGAAAAAACATGTACAAAGTGTACCAAGAGTGTTTTAAATTTCCACGCAACTTTCTAGGCTGCATGCCACCCCAGAAGGGACAAGACTTACGACCTGAAGTTACTTGCGGCAGTATTTTAAACTGTAACAGTTGTGGTATTTTAAACTCTAACAGTTTAATAGTTTAAAGTTCAATAGTTTAAAGAACAAGTAAAGTCAATAAAAGAATAAAAAAATATATATATTAATAGCATTTTTAAAAATATCTTATACTGTAACTTTTTTCTTCAAAATGGGGTCTGAAACAGCACTGAGAAATCCTCTCAACATTACAAACAGAATCTGGCTGAAGCACAGCCCAGAACTCCCCATCCACCCCCCACCCCCACCTCCCCCTGCTAACTCCAGCAGCACAATGAGGACCTGAACTCCCTGGCCACAGGTGTGCCCAGAGTATCCTGACAAAAAAAAAAAAAAGCACTGGAACAGTTTCAGAGGTCAGCACAGTCACCCTTTGCTGGTATTTTCCCCGGAGTCATAATCGAAAGACTTTCTGGGGCAAGAAGACTGGACTCCTGGGTGATCAGAAAACCTGCCAATAAGCCTTTAAAGACCTGAAGATTTTTTTCGGCTATTTAAAAAGAAGCACAAAACTCATGCCACACTAAAGACTTTCTCCAAAGTACTCAGTACTGTAACAAACATCAAGAACCTTTTCAATATTAAGAGCAGTGGAATAAACAAACACTGCAAAGAATAGCCAAAAACTTGAGTGTTTAAAGCTAAGCTTTTGCTGGCAGCCAATGACAAACCTTCCTGTCTGTCTGTATGCAGATTATTGTACAAGCTAAGATGTAAAATAGGACATTTAGGGCTCAGCCCAGGGTAGTGAGCAGAAGATGGGAATGAGCTTTCAAACTGTTCAGGTAAACAGACAGTGGGAGGCCATCCAGGCCAATGAGGCAGAAAACCATGTGAGAACTACAGCTGGACGGCTGACAGAGGCCACTCCAAGGCCAGGGACCTGAAGGAAGAGGAGACCTGGAGGATCAAGAAGTCAGGCAGAAGAGAACCTGCATGGAGACCGAGGAGACTTGTTCGTACACCTCCAACACCAATGTATTTAGGAGCTGAAGAAAAAGAAGAGGACGAGTCCAAATACATTGTAAACACAGAAATTTACGAATGAGCATTTCCCTCTCCAGGGCTCAAGGCAGACAGACAACCAGCTGTGACATCAATGACTGCAAGGCCACGGGGGTCCATACTGGCACAGGCCGTCAGACGCAGCCTGTAGGAAATGTTTTCTGACCACGTACTGACTCAAAAGCCAGTGGAACATCTGTGCTAGGAAACACAGGGCTGAAAACTAGAGCAAGTCTGAAGTAGAGGAGGGTGCCCCTCACTCCTGCCCCCACACTCTCCTGTTTAAACACCACCCTCAGCATCCCCCCTCCCATGCAGTCCAGGTATCTCAGACCTCTTAGCAAATGGAAACAGCCGTTTAAATTCATTTACTGCTCTAAACTACATGACAGACAGACTAGAGTGCTCCAGCGTGGGATCCCAGCAGGTTCCAATTCTCCTTGCGATCTTGCTGGTGCACTTCATGGAACTTGCATTTACATCACTGAGCAAGGAGTGAATTTAAATTCATCCAGAATGGGGCACTAAGACAGCTGTATGTCAATGGTAGCCAAGCCAACTCTTTCTTCATTTTGTAACTATTTGGAAATTATCATTTCTTAAAGGTTTAGTGAATAAATCTGAATGGTTCTGGAGCTTCTGTTGGGATCCCTGTGTGAAAACTCCCCTAATTACTGGTCTGCTAAGCTTTTCTGCTGCATAATGCTGATTCTGTTTTTTGTGCATAATCACCCCATTTAACTAAAGCTTGCATATTTACAGTACTGGACAGCTTTCAAAATATCAAATCTATTACTCCATTCTTTAGTTTCTAATGTCATGGTTCTTGAAAATTGTATTTAAGATTTAAGTTCTTCTCTCACAAAAAATCAACTCCTGTTTATGCTTGTAAAATTTTCCCCTTAACTCCCTAAAGTCTTTTCAGTTAAAAAGGCAGAAATTTCTAAAGAGTGTAAGCAGGTTAGGTACATGCTTACAGATGATTTAAGGTGCTGTCATTAATCATACCATCTCTATTTTAAATAGTTACTCTAAGAAAACTAGATTCCATTTCTCAAGTCCTGGAGAAAAATGGTCACAGTGGGCTGTGAACAAGATCCAAGAGGAATCATCGTTACCAGGACAAATGACACCAATGAGGGGACACTCACATGAAAACGCAATTCCTGAAGCCTTTGATTTCACTCCAAAGCACTGATCTGCTCAATAGTTACAAATGTATCACAGAACCCACAACATGTCACTGTCACTGTATCTGTCACTGTGTTCCCCTCCCCTGCCCCTGAGACAGTGCTGCAGCAGGAATTTATAACAGTTTCTCCCCAGGTTTCAGGGCAGGGCTGGCATTCTTATGCTTTCTCTTAACAACCATTAAGAATCTGACGCATCAATTTTATCGAACCTGGAGGGTTATCAGGCATTGCCCACAGAACAGGCACGCCGCGGAGTCACCTGGAGCTTACAGTGACAAGGAAGATGTGGCTCGTGGCCTGGAGCTGCCTCCACAACTCCCGATGAAACCAACTTAGGATGAGGAGACCTCAGGCTAAGACAGTCCAGGGAGAGCTCACAGAAACAACTCCAGTGGGGCTTCTGAGAGCCTTGGAACAGGCAAGGGAGCAGACGGGATACACAGGAACAGGACGGGACCAGAGTGCTGGGAGGTTAGAGGAGGAACTGAGGGAGCAACCAAGACAACCCTCAGACAGCTCTGAACTCAGAGTTCAGACCTGCTGTTAGAGGAAGACCACCAGATGAGTTTGCTAAAAAGGGGGAAAAAAGCAGCAGCGTATGCACAAGGAGAGGTATGCAAAGAGCGCTCTGCGGAGACACACCTGGGCTCCAGGAGCCGTGAGGATGGGGTGGAGTGTGAGGGCTAAATCCCAGGAGAGCAGGGGCTCAAGGTCCTACTCTTGGGGCCCGGAGGAAAGCTGGACTGCTCAGCAGAGCGTAGGGCCACGCGAGCCTCTAAGGAAGGCACCCTGCCCAGAGCAGCTTCGCCCTACGTGGGCCCGTGTGCGCACCTTCTGGGCGATCATGCTGCAGATCTCGGGCAGGAAGTCCTCGCTGAGCAGTTTGTAGAGCTGGCGCTCTCGCACAGAGGTCCTCTCCCGGAAGCTCTCAGTGACCTGTCTCCACTCTTGCTCAGTCTGGCACAGGAGCCACCAGGAGCCCTGCCCTGGTCCCTGGGACCCTAGAAGAGAGAGTCGCAGTCAGGAAACAGGCCCCATGGACCTCCTCCTCTTCTCTGCCGTCAGGTTCACTGGTGACCTGGGTTACCCTTTAAGGTTGATAATGTATACTTTAGATGTTCTGGCTACTCTCCTGTTCACAACTAAGAGCTTTGAAGTCAATACAAACACAACTATGGTGACCTTCCTGATAGACTCTAATAACCTAGAAATGTTCCAATGAATCTGCTTTTCTACATAAATGGCTTTGAGCTGCAGGAGTGTTCCTTGCTACACTGAGATACTATAAATTGCTTTTTCTCCTCAAATGTCTGTATTGAATTACAGATTGCATAAAAAGTCTACATAAGAACACAGTACACATCCTTATGTTGTAAAGTATTTGACTTTAAAAGGAAGCTCTTGCGAAGCTTTGCATGCATCCCAGTGTCAGGAGCCTATTACACTGGGCCTGGGAAGGGGCTCAAGTGAAGTGGCCTGGTCCTGATCGCGAGTGATCCGTGAGGAGGGGTGATGGACACAGGGAGACATGTGCGCGGGGCAAGGAGGCTGGTGGGGAGACTGCTGCAGTGGTTCCAGCAGCTGCACTAGACTCTGGAAGGTGACGCAAACCCTCCAACCCCTATGAAGGCCATTACCGTTTCTCGTCTGCAGCTCAGACGCTGAGGAGTTTTCTTCCTGCTTGTCACTAGAACAAAGGAAAGGGGTCACCATTAAAACAAAAACACGGCCAAAATTGTTCTGTGCTTCCCTAGAAGGAAGGCACACTGGCTTCCTACTGATACCAGAGAAGTGTGTGTGTGTGTTTGCATTTAATGCACATTGGCTAACTATTAAAACTAGGAGAGAGAGAGAGTGTGTGTGTGAGTGTGTATGTGTGTGTATAAGGACCACTGCCTTACTATTAGTATCAGAAAAGAGAGAGTGTGTGTGTGTAAGGCATAGTGGCTGACTATTAACACCAGGAGACAATGCATGTGTGTCTGTGACACGCCAACAGAGCAAGGTCAGGAACACGGAGGCGGGCAAGTTGGCACAGAGAGGGGAAGGACGACACACAGGAATACGGCACCACTGCCCAGGAACGGAGGAGCTCAGTGTTGACAGTTCAAGGCCAAGGAAAGGGCTTGCTACCCAACCGAGGGCTGCACGGAACAGAAGACTGTTGAACTGACCCCCACAGCAGGCTGAAGTGAGCAACACAGGCTCTGAGGTCGCCCACCCCCACTCAAGGCATGCCACCTTGACCTCAGCAAAGTCAACGAAATTCCCTGGAAAACGGGACCGTTAATGATATGAGACACAAACACGCTCAGTGTTACGTGCCCAATAGTGCTGTCTTCCTAGACCATGAAGGACATGCTCTGCATGTTCCGGCCCTGCACAGCCTCCTGGAAGAATGGAAATGCCCCGTGCCGTTGCTATGCAACAAAGGCAGCCATAGGTCACACTCACCCACTCAGCAGAAGCATGGCTGGTATGACTGAGGAATTGAACTTTAAATTTTATTTATTTTTAAAAAACATTAAAAATTATTTTAGGGACTGAACTTTCTCTTCACTTTTTTTTCCCCCTTCTACATGCATCTTACTGTATTTTTTTTCATCATTCTTTAAAAAAAAAAAACTTAACTGAGGTATAGTTTCAGGTGTACAACAAACACAGTGACCACAATTTTTAAAGATCACACTCCATATACAGTTATTATAAAACACTGGCACATCCCCATGCTGTACAGTGCGTCCCGACAGCCTTTTATGTGACATACTCATTTGTACCTCTGTCCCCTAGCTCACCCAAACCCCTTTTGTCTCCCCACTGGTCACCCCCAGTTTGTTCTCTGTACCTGCTTTGTTACATTCAGTAGTTTTACCCTTTTAGATTTCACAAAATTTTATGTAATTTAAAAAGACTTCAATACTGCACTGGACTCAGAATGCTACAGAATAAAGTCGCCGGCAGAGGGCAGCACAGGAGCACTGGGCTTGTGAAGTGAGGACACCCCACGGGCTCAAGGGCACCAAAGATGAACATGCAGAGCAGCTTGCTGGGTTTACATGGACTTGTAGGCTGCTAACAAAACCCAGAAACTGATGTCTTGTATATAAAACACAATGACAGCACTATTTCTCACAAATTCTGGTGGGAGGAAAGCTTGCATTATAGTCAAAATTTCAGAAAAGTTAAGTGGAACACTGTTTTTTTGTTCTTTTTTTTTTTTAACACTGATTGTTAAAACAAAAAAAAACAAACCAAATTCTGATCGACTGATTCATAATCAGATCCCTAAAAACATTTATTAGCAGTTAATGAGCAAGACAGTGAAATCTGGTCCACTTCAGGCACTGAGCTTATTTAAGCAGTTCTAACAATAAACCAGAGAACAAGGAAGCAGTTTGCCCTGTGTTATTAGAATTTTTAAGACTGTGACTTAACTTCCATAAGTGAATAAATAAATATCTGATCCTTAAGTAAAAGGTATAAAAGTATTTTTACACAGTACAGGTCAGACCCTCAAAACTCATATACTGAGATTCACATGGGGGATTATTCCTTAAAGAACGACATACTAAAGTAAAATTTCCCAGGACTTCCCTAATGGTCCTTCCACTGCAGGAGATCCCTGGTCGGGAAGCTAAGATCCTGCCTGCATGAAGCACAATGTGGCCAAAAAATTAAATAAAATTTTCCCAAAATACAACAATCTTTTTCTTTGCTAAAATTAAATACCAATGGAACATTACTCAGCCATTAAAAATAATTCATTTGAATCAGTTCTAATGAGATGGATGAAACTGGAGCCCATTATACAGAGTGAAGTAAGCCAGAAAGATAAAGACCAATACAGTATACTAACGCATATATATGGAATTTAAAAAGATGGTAATGATAACCCAATATGCAAAACAGAAAAAGAGACACAGATGTACAAAACAGACTTTGGGACTCTGTGGGAGAAGGCAAGGGTGGGATGTTCTGAGAGAACAGCATTGAAACAAGTATACTATCAAGGGTGAAACAGATCACCAGCCCAGGTTGGATGCATGAGACAAGTGCTCAGGGCTGGTGCACTGGGAAGACCCACAGGGATGGGATAGGGAGGGAGGCAGGAGGGGGGATCGGGATGGGGAACACATGTAAATCCATGGCTGATTCATGTCAATGTATGGCAAAAACCACTACAATATTGTAAAGTAATTAGACTCCAACTAATAAAAATAAATGAAAAAAAATTAAATACCAAATAAACACTTAAAAATGTTTAAGGTCTCATCTTAACAAAATGAGTTCTAAACACCATAAAGCACATTTACTACTGAAGCCTCCTTACCAGGAAAGAACTCCTAGACTCACAGTATTAACTCACTCCACCTCCTGTGCAGAAATCTGGGACGAAGGGATCTGGAAGGCACTTCCTGTGGGCAGGCTTGGTTCCTGGTGCCTTCTGCTGTCAGAGCTCCCACTGCCCAGGGGGAGGGCTCCCAGACAGCTGGTAACTTGAGAGGGGCCGGGCTGGGGACCCCAAGGACTCCAGTGCACACTCACGTCCTCCCAGAGACAGAGCAAGGACGGGGCGAGTCCTCCAGCATAAGGGTTTGGGTTAGGGACCTTCACACACTAAGATTTTCTCACCTCATGAAAGTTTCCTCCTGTAGTTTTTTCCGTTTTGGGGGTCTTCCTCTTCTTTTACCTGTTTTCCCAGGAACATTTGAGACATTTTTTTGTCCTTCACTTTCCCTAAGAAGTAGTACATTAAACAGAAATGTCAGTTGTCTGGCCAGAGGTTACTAAATAGGACAAAGGCAGCAATCACAGGGACAAGACAGGGCGACCTCACATCTTCCGTTATTATTAATAAAACGTGGAATCAAGGAAACGAAAGTCTCCCACACGAACATCTGGGCTGGTAAAGAATCTGCCTGCAATGCAGGAGACCTGGGTTTGATCCCTGGGTTGAGAAGATCCCCTGGAGAAAGGAAAGGCTACCCACTCCAGTATTCTGGCCTGGAGATGGGGTCGTAAAGAGTCAGACATGACTAAGAGACTTTCACTTTCAGGCTTCCCTAACAGCAAAGGGTCCAGCAACCTGAAGTGCGGGAAGATGGCAGCACAGCTCTGGGATGTTGCCCAAGGCCTCTTCCTTGACAAGAGCCCAGGTAGGATGGGGTTCTCCAGAACCCACTCTGCCACAGGGAAAGGCCCAGGGCGCACTGGCGCTGCTGAGAACTGGCGCCAGAACCGCCCCCAGGGAGCAGGGCTAGAGGGGAAGTCCTCTGTGCTTCTGTGTGAAGTGCCTCCTTGCAGGCATGCTGATCCATACAGTTCACTCCTTCACGAGGGAAGGAGAGCTGTGCAGTAGAATTCAGAGGCACTGGGCGTTAACAACAGTGGCGACGGCAACGTGACCTTCAGGAAGGTACCTGTTCAGGGAGAGCTCTCCATGGGACCCTCCTTGTGCCGGGTCCTCCTTGTACATTCGCGTTCCGTAGAAATACCAGTAAAGGGCCCCTGAGCTGTCCTCGCCCAGTGGCTCCACACGGAGACTGTCTGCGTCCAGGCCCTGCGCAGGTCAGGGAAAGTGGTTTGGGCAACAAGAGTAAACGGAAATGAGGATACAAAACATAGTCTCACAGATACCTCACATTACAATGCCCAAACACCTGGGGTAATTCTCATTCTGGGTCCAGATATATTGGACCAGGAGAAGGCGCCTGCTCTAAGAACAGGATGTGGAAATATTTCAAACCCTTCCCAGCCCATCACTGCCCCCATGTTGCCAAAAACAGAGAAAGCCAAAAGAATTCTGATGAACTTGTGACACATCTGGCTTGGACCCACACGAGGAGAGACAAGCCCGACAGGAGAGTCGGTGCTGCAGCAGCCTCGTCCCACACCATGCTGGGCAGCCGGCCAGCCCAGTCCAGGGCTCCCCACTCACCAGCATGACCTCACTGCCGCCCCCAGTGACTGAGACCAAGGCCTTGGTGAAGGTGGAGCAAAGCTGAGCTACAGATCTCACCACAGTTCCCACCCAAGCCCACAGGCACTGTCGACCTCCCAGTGAGGGCACGATCAGGTAAGGGAGAGGCGGCCAGAGCCCCACCCAGCACACTTCTGCCTCGTGCACAAAGTGTGTGATGGGGATGGGGTCAAGACTTTGGGAGGTGTCATAAATCTTAATTATGCCAAGTCAAATTTCAGGCCTCAGGAAATAACATTCAGTGACTAATGTAACCGCAATTCTGGGTGATGACACAGCAGACAGGAGCCTCGACTGTTCCCATGTCAGCGGGGACCCAGGATATGGAAAAGGGAAGACACCAAAGCGGCCAGCACAACCCAGAGCCAGCTTCCCTGAACCGCTGCTCCAGGGAGGGTGCCTATCCGTCACTCACCTTGAGGAGGTCAAAGACGTCGTCAGCGTCCAGCCGGTAGTCACAGAGGCGGTGGAGAATCTCCACTCGGGTGCGCAGGGGAAGGTCCTGGAAGCTGGCCTCCCGCAGAGGGTTGGGCTTCCCCTCCTCCAGCTCCCAGCGGTAGTTGATGATGTCCTCCAGGTAGCTGTGGAAGGTCTGAGGCCTAGCCAGTGGTCCCAGACACAAAGGTGCATTATTACCACACAGAGGACTGGGGGGTGGGGGTGGGGGGTCATCTTCAACAGTAGCAGAACTGAAAGCCCCAGGAAGGGCCTGCGAGGCCCTCGAGGAAACACTTGTTACTGCACCATCTCCTTGGAGCTGACAGTGTCAAGTCCCAAAGATTACCAACATTTAAGAAAGTTTCTCACAGAACAGGTTGTTCTGCATGTTCGGTCACAAGCAGCACATTGTGTGGCAGTAGCTGCACGTGTGCAGTGTCAATGGCAGACACCAAAACAGGCCGTGTCGACCGTCACCTGTACAGGCAGATGCTTCGGAGCTCGGGGGGCATTCGGTTCATACAGCAGACACTGTGGAGCTCAGGGGGCATTCGGTTCAAAGTCAGATCCCCGACTTAAGAGGGCAAACAACAAAGAAGGCCAGTGTCTGCCTGGTTTCATCCATTCACATTTCATGCTCTAATGCAAAGGTGGAAAAACCTTCTCCAGAACACAAGCAGTTACACCGAGGTGTAACTATACTTTCATGTGCTATTACACGTAACCTTGTAGGCATGATACAAAACACTATATTCTAAATTTGAGAGTTTTTTCTGCAGGTAACATTTAAGACAGTTCAATGGCAACTTAAATTTCTGACTAGTACCTAAATGTGCCTTGTATATAACAGTGTGTTATGCATGCCTGTGTGTTTAGCCGGGTCTGACTCTGCAAACCTATGGACTGTAGCCTGCGCCAGGCTCCTCTGTCTATGGAATTCTCCAGGCAAAAATACTGGAGTGGGTTGCCAAGTTTCCTCCAGGGGATCTTCCTGACTCAAGGGCTGAACCTGCATCTCCTGTGTTTCCTACATTGCAGGCAGGTTCTTCACCCACTGAGCCATCAGGGAAGCCCTGGTATGTAACAAAGTACTGTTTAATTGTTAGATAGTTACTTTATATCTCAACTATTAAAGAATCTGGATACAATTTCACCTAATGCTTGATTTAAAAACATTTTTCTCACTAAACAAAGAGCTCCAAAGGAATTATGTAGGTCAATGTAATTTTTAAAAGAGGTAGTAGGTACCATGTTATTTTATAATCTATGGTAGTTGTATCTGTAGAAAAAGTCAGAAGAAATATTCCTAGAAAAAAACAAAGGGCCTTAGGCAAATAAGAAATGAAACATTTTGCTTTTTCAAAGAGAGAAGGAACTTCATTTCCTTCCCACTGATACCTCAAACTAGCACAGAGTGAATGTGGTTAGTGCATCGAAATCCATCATGACACCTGGAAACAGGGCTCTCGGCACAGGGACACCTGCAGCTCTTACAAACTGAGGCCACTCAGTGCAGGGCACTTGCTCTGGACAGTCACCACCAATCCTTTCACTAGAACAAAAAGACTGAAGCACATAGTCCACGTCTATGTTCCTTCTTGTCTGAAAGAAGTTCTAAATGCTAATTACCCTATTTTTTCCCCCTTAAAATAGTTTGCAGGATTACAAGCTTCTACCAGGAGACCCACGTGACCCGGGAGGTGTGACCATGCAGGGAAACAACCTGCCTGAGATCACCACAGTAAAAGGAAGGCTGCTGTATCAGTTCTGAGGCATGAAAGGGTATCTGCAGTCTACTTGCAGGGAGCACTGAGGACCTGGCACCCCAGTGCCATGTAGAGACTAAACAGAAAAATTCAGTTGAGGTCAGTCGCTCAGTCGTTGACTCTCTGCAACCCCATGGACTGCAGCATGCATGGCCTCCCTGTCCATCACCAACTCCTGGAGTTTACTCAAACTCATGTCCATCAAGCCAGTGATGCCATCCAACCATCTCATCCTCTGTCGTCCCCTTCTCCTCCTGCCTTCAATCCTTCCCATCATCAGGGTCTTTTCAAATGAGTCAGTTCTTCGCATCAGGTGGCCAAAGTATTGGAGTTTCAGCTTCAGCATCAGTCCTTCCAATGAATATTCAGGACTGATTTCCTTGAGGATGGACTGGCTAGATCCCCTTGCTGTCCAACATCCCAGTTCAAAAGCATCAATTCTTTAGCGCTCAGCCTTCCTTATGGTCCAACTATCACATCCACACGTAAAAAGACTAACTTTTGGTAATTCCTAAAAGGCCCCATAAGAATATTTGAAAAGTGTTTATTCATAAAGATCATAAAACAATTCAGCCCAAAACCACAAAACCAATGCCTCTTTTGTAGGACTATATGCTACCTGCCATGTCTTGCAATCAATTAAGAAATCAAAACAAGTAAGAAATCATGATAATTTCAAATTCAAGGAAAATATGACTAAGATATAAAACATTTTAACAGGGAAATATGTATATAACAGATTTTCTGTATATGAATGCTTAAGTTAGGTAAAAAAGAAGAGTATTAAAAGTCATCTAGAAATTTTTAAAAAGCCACTTGGAAATCTTTGTCTTTAAAAAGGTAAAGAACTGTCTTTAGTGGAAGCCAGATGGGACCTTAAATACTATTTGCATGAATTGGAAGTCTGGAGTATCAAGTTTAAGGTGAGAAATGGTACAGTAAGAATTCTAAACAGCTTCTGATAATTAAAGATGCACACTGCTGCCCCAGAATCACACACACACACATACATACGCACCCAAAAAAAGTCTATAAGAAATAAAGTGAAATACTTAACAAAAGAAACCATTGAAGGACAAAGAAAGGAAAAAAAATAAGAAAGAAACAGGTTAAAAGACATTCATTAGTCATTTAGGGAATGCAAATCAAAACCCAATAAGGTACCATGCCACACCCACCAGTGGCTAAAATTAAGTAGACAGGTAAGAACAAGTGCTAACCACTTATTAACAAGGACTCAGAGAAAGGGGAATGCTCGTACACTGGTAGAGGGAATGTATAATGATGCAGTTGCTTTGCAAATATTTGGCAAGTTGCTCAAAACTTAAACAGAATTACCATATGATCCAACCATTCCACTCTTATGTACACAGCCAAGAGAAATGAAAACATCCATCCACACAAAAACAAGTACACTAATGTTCATATACAGCAGCTTGATTCACAATGGTCAAAAGACTGAAATAGCACCATGTCCATGAACTAATAGATAAATAAAACACAACAGAGTATTTTCTTAAAAAAAAAAAAAAAACACACACACAACAGAGTATTTTCTGACCATAAAATGAATGAGTCCTTGATTCATGATACAATGTGCTTGAAAACATGCTAAATAAAATTAGCCTAATACCTACATGTATGTATTCCACCTACAGAAGCACCTAGAATAGTAAATAAACAACATGCACAGAAAGCCCATTAGTTAGTGGGACTGGTGACTGTAGGAAGTGAGGACAGCTAATGGGTGTGAGGTGTCTTATGAGTCTGATAAGACGTTCTGGAATTCAACAGTAGTGATGACTATACACTTAAAAACCCCAGAGACACAAGTGGAAAACCAATCATACCAATAATTACACTAACTGTAAGTGAACTAACAGTCAAACACTGCTTAGTAGGAAATTTATAGCTTTGAAATGCCCATATTGAAAAGAAAAAAGGCTGATCACCAGTACTATAACTTAAGAAGAAAAAAGAATAGGCTAAACCAAAGTAAACAGAAGAAATAATAAAGATAAATCAATAAAACAAAAAAGATTTTAAAAAGAAAATGAACAGTAGGTAAGGTTAAAAGTTGGTTCCTTAGCAAACATTTTAAAAGTTGATAAACCTGTAGAAAGAATCAACTTCTAGAGGGACAGACACAGCACAAATTACAACATCAGGAATGAAAGTGGAAACATCACTGTAGATCCTACAGATATTAAGAGGATAAGAGAATATTATGAATAGCACTATGGAAATAAATTTAAAAACTGAAACAGACGAATTCCTTGAAAAATGCCAAAATGACTTACCAAAGTCATGACTTAAGAAATAGACCATCCAGGAGAAAAAGGAACCCTCCTACACTGTTGGTAGCAATGTAAATTGGTACAGCCACTATGCAGAAAAGTTTGGTGGTTTCTCAAAAAACAGAGAATAGTGTTAACATATGATCCAGCAATCCCACTCCTGGTACATATCCAGACAAAACTATAATTCAAAAAGATACATGCACCCCTTATATTCACAGCAGCACTATTTATAATATTATAATATAATATTATAATATTTATAATAGCTAAGACATGGAAGCAACATAAATTTTCAACAGGTGATTGGACAAAGATGTGGTACATAAAAACAATGGAATGTTACTCAACCATAGAAAGAATGAAATAATGCTATTTGCAACAACATAGATGGACCCAGAAATGACCATACTTAGTGAAGTAAGTCAGACAGAGACAAATACCATACAATATCGCTTACGTGAAATCTAAAAGAAGACATAGACTTACCTATGAAACAAACTCACAGACATAAAAAATAGATATGTGGCTGCCAAAGAAAGGGGGTATGGGGGGAGTGATGGATTGGGAGTCTGGGATTAGCAGATGCAAACCGGTATATACAGAACGGATAAACAACAAGGCCTGTTGTATAGCACAGGGAACTATATTCAATACCCTGTGATAAACCACAGAAAAAATGGAAAAGAATATGAAAAAGGATATATACGTATGATTGAATCACTTTCCTATAGTGCAATATTATACTTAAATAAAATTTTTTAAAAAAGAGGAACTTCCTTGGTGGTCCAATGGTTACGATTCTACCTTCCACTGCAGTGGCCGCAGGTGTGATCCGTGATCAGGGAACACCCCACATGCTCGCTAGTGTGGCCAAAAATTAAAATTAAAAAAAATTTTTTTAAGAAATAAAACACCCAAACAGCCTTAATCTATTAAAGAAACTGAATCAATATTACTCAAATAAAACCTTGCATAAAGAAAACTACAAAATCCAAAGGCTTTTAGTGGTGAACTGTTCAAAAGAAATTACAGAGACTTTTTCAGAAACCAGAGGAGGGAAACGCTTCTCAACCCATCTGCCAAACCTGACGAAGA